TCTGTCCCACCCCACACCCCCGCCCCCAGCATTCTGTGCCCCATCCCTGCCCGCTCCTGCCAAGGCTCCGGGTCCCAGCCCCGTCCCCTAGTACCCTGAACCCATCCTGGGCCGGGGTCCTGGCCCCTCCGCCGGCCCCAGCCCGCGCCTCCGCTCTCAGGCCCGCGGGCTGACCCTGCAGTGGGTGTACTCGGCGCGGGGGGACTATATCCGGGCGGCCGAAAAGCTGCGGAAGGAGATCTACAGCTCGGAGGAGCGCGACGAGCGCCTGATGCGCATGTATAACGTGCGCATAATGCGGGTGAGGCCCCGCCCCGACCCGACGCCCCGCCCCCAGGGACCCTCGGCCTCGCCCGGGGTGGAGGGCGCTGCCTGCCCTGCGCGTTCACGGGGCTGGCTCCACCCTGTCCTCTGGGCCTAGCTAAGCCTGCTCTTGCCAAATGGTGAGATGGACCGGGAGGGCCAGTCACCCTGGCAACATCTAGCAGAGCCCCGCAGTTACCTCCAGAAAGCATGTCGACCGTGGTCCACAGCCTTAGAGGACAAGCTTAAGGCCTGGGTGGTGGAAGAGGCTAGAGAAATTTGGAATGTGGAGCGCTCTTTCTTCTGGTAGTGAGCTGGGCGAAACCCAGAGAGGATCCCTGGAGGGAGTGCCTACCTTCTTTCTTCCGGCTGCCTCCTTTGGCATCGCATATTGCCTCTGTTTACAAAGCCTATCCTTCCATTTTTAAAAAAAGATTTTATTTATTTATTATTTGAAAGGCAAAGAGAGGGAGAGGGGAGAGAGCAAGGGAGAGTGAGCTTCCATTCGCTGGGTCACTCCCCAAATGGCTACAGTAGCCGGGGCTGGGCCAGGCCAAAGCCAGGACCCAGGAACTCCATCCTGGTCTCCCACTTGGGCTGTCTGCTGATTTCCTAGGTGCATTACATTAGTAGGACAGGAATCGGAGCAGCTGGGACTCCGACCAGTGCTCCAGCATGGGATGCCTGCCTTGTAGGGCCGCTTCGTTCCCGGTGCCACAGCGCCAGCCCAAAGCCCATCCCTCTTTTTCTTCCTCGCCTCTTTCTCTGAGCTCTCTCCTGCTCCTTTCCCCCTCCACCGAGACGCCTGCGACCCTGAGGTCAGACATGGAGAACCAGCTGGGTCCATTCTCATTCACGGACCTTGGCTTAACTTCTGCTTGGTTTGACCTCTGCAGAAATACAAAAAAGACACCCGCTCTCCCACAGTCTCTCCCAGGGTCAGGAGGCACCTTTGTATGAGATGCATGGCTCCAGCTCAGGGTGGACAGGAAGGGACCCAGGACTGCAGAGCTGGGGCCAGACTCAGAACTTTGTAGCTCAGACAGGGGGTTTGGTAAACTACAGCCAGCAGGCCAGATTCAGCCACTGCGTGGTTTTGTAAATAAAGTTTTATTGCAACACAGCCATGCTCATTGGTTTTCATGTGGCTGCTTGAGTGCAACAGTGGCCACACTGAGTCATTGCCGTAGGAACAGTCTGGCTTGCAAAGCCTAAGATACCCACTGTCTGGCGTTTTGCAGGGAGTTTGCTGACCTCTGTTTTAGACTGTGACTTGGGTGTTGAGGTACAGGCAGAACTTGAGTTGCTACAAAGAAAAGCCCCAGAACCAGGGTGTGGTGGTGACACAGGCCTGGCTTTCCTGAGAGGCAGGGCGTGGACAGCAGCGCCCGTGCAGTGCAGAGGCAGAGGGGAGCCGAGCGCCTAGGAGTGGGTTAGGGATCGCTTGCTGGAGCATGGCACGCCGGGAGAAGATGCTGGAATTTGAGGGTCTGGGCGCCAAGGGAATCGGCAGGGTTTCTGAGCAGTGCGTGATGTGGCAGAGGGGAGGCTGGGAAGGGATTTTGGCGATGGCGTAAGTGGGCTGAAGAGGAAATGAAGTTCACAGAGGCAGTGCTCTGGCTGAGGGTGGCTGTGGGCCCATGTGCGGCTTCCCAGCCTGGGTACTGAGGGAGGAGGAGGGGCGTGGCAATGGCAGTTGCTGGGAGCTCTGAGTGAACGAGGGAGCTGCCCCTGGGGATTCCGATTTTGCGGGAGTGGCTGCTGTCAGTGGTCGGTTAAACATCTTTGCGGGCTGATTCTGGTATTTGCCGGGAGGCCCGCCGGCTGCCCAGGGAGCAGCAGGAGGAAGCAGAGGGGCTGGCAGCCAGCTGGGAGGAGGTGAGGCCAGAGAACAGCACCGGGTCAGAAGTGACTAGGAGCAGAATCAGGCAGGACTGTGTGTCTCCTTGACCTTTGACTCTGGCTGTGGACATTGGGGGAGGTAGGGCAGAGTGGCTGGGGTGTGGAGAGGTGTGGTATTAAGAGAAACGGCAGGACAACAGATTGTTCTTTGAGGCCTTGGGCAGGGAAGTGAAGGGGCGACCGAGAGGAAGGCTTGGGGGCTAGAACCCAACTTAGCGGGAGGACGTCCCCTGCCCGGCAACTGATGGCGTAAGAGCACGGCTGTTCCTGATTGGGCAGCCACAGGGAGGTGGGACTTGAGCTGCTCCTGGCTGTAGACCAAGCCGGCTAGCAGCTACCAGATCACCGAGGGGCCCCTGGCGGGAAAGAGCCAGGCGTGGAGCCCCCCAGCTCGAGCTGACGCCCCTGTCTGCGCAGGTGGAGTTCTACTTCCTGTCCCAGTATGTGTCGCCGGCCGACTCCCCGTTCCGCCACATCTTCCTGGGCCGCGGGGACCACACGCTGGGCGCCCTGCTCGACCATCTCCGGCTGCTGCGCGCCGACTCCGGGGTGGAGCCAGGCTTGGGCTTCCAGGAGAGCCGCTTCCGGCGCCAGCTGGCCCTGCTCACATGGACGCTGCAGGGGGCAGCCAACGCGCTGAGCGGGGACGTCTGGAACATCGATAACAACTTCTGAGGGCCGCCAGCCCTCCTGGGCGCCCCTGCCGCCGGGCCCTGCGGGGACCTCCTCTCCCCGCTGCTGCAGCGATCAAGGGGACCGAGGTGACCGGCTCGGGCCACTGACCCCTCCTCAGCCTCGGCGCAGACCGCGGCCCCGCGGGTGGGAGGAGGTGACCGACCGTTCCTCCCTAGCCATCCCCTCGCTCACTCTCAGCCCCCTTCCACCTTCTGGAAGGTTGGCCAGGCCTGGGACGTGGCCGCTGTCTTCACGGGAGAGATGGTGGCATCGTGACCCTGTGTCTACAGGTGCTCCGCAGAGGGAGGGCCATGGGGTCTGGATTCAATAAACCTGAGGCCACTGTCGGTCTAGTGCTTGTCGGTTCTTCCTCACCCGTCTCACTCCTCCTTTGAGACTTACAGGAGGGCTGGGCAGGCGGCCCAGAGAGATTGCAGGAATTTGGTGGGGAAGGCTGAGCTGTAGGAAACTACAAAAATGAAGACCCTTCTCCAGAGACCATCGTGGGTGGGGCCCCGGCTCAGTGCCTCAGGGGCCCGCGCTGTAGCACAGCAGGCTGAGCCACAGCCGGCCTAGATGCCGCATCCCACATTCCAGTGCCAGGGTGAGTCCTGGCCGCTCTGCTTCCGATCCAGCTTCCTGCTAACGCACCTGGGAAGGCAGCCAGTTCTGGACCCTGCCGCCCAGAGGGAGGCCACAATGGAGTTCCTGGCTCCTGGCTTTAGCCTGGCTCAGCCCTGGCTGTTGCGGCCATTTGTGGAGTGAACAAGCAAAAGAAACCTCACTCTGCCTTTCGGATAAATTAATTAAAAACAAAAAATCAGAAACAATGCTTTCTTCCAGGCTGTCAATCGGCCATGTTTTCTTTGCTACTTACTGCCGCGTTCCTTAGGCACACCCTCCCAGGCACCCAGGGTGCTGCCCCCCAGACTGGTGGGAACAGCTCATGAGCCCAGGTCCTGCTCGGGGAGGAGGGTGGCAGCTGTTTCTGGCTGCCAGCAGGGACCTCGTAGCCCAGAACCCACCCTCCACTGTCATGGCGAATTTCCCTTCCAAAGCATAAACTCAAAAAATAAGATTATTGGGGTGGGTGTTGTGATGCAGGGGATAAGCCACTGTCTATGGTGACGGCATCCCATATGGGCACTGGTCTGTGTCCCGGCTGCTCCACTTCCAAGCCAGCTCCCTGCTAATGGCCTGGGAAAAGCAGCGGACGGTGGCCCCTTTGTTTGGGCCCCTGTTACCCACATGGGAGACCCAGAAGAAGCTCCTGGCTCCCAGCTTCAATCTGGCCCAGTGCTGGCCATTATGGCCATCTGGGGAGTGAACAAGCAGATAGAAGCTCTCTCTTTCCTTCTAACTCAAAATAAACAAATAAATATTTGGAAAAAAAAACACAAAAATAAGATTACCAAGCATGTCAAGACAGCAACGAAAGATGAAACCTCAAAACAGTGTCCTTCTGAACAAGGGTCCCTGTAAGACTGTAGTGGCCACGTAGCTGTCGGAGCGGCCTCCTCAGGCCTGCCTTGCCCAGCCCTTGTCCAGTGAGGGTGGAGACACAGGCACAGGGTGATTATCCCTTATCTAAAATTCCTGGGACCAGAAGTGCTTCTGATCTTGTTGTTGCTTTTTTTTTTTTTCTTTTGACTTATTTATTTGAAAGGCAGAATTCCAGAGAGGCAGAGGCAGAGAGAGAGAGAGAGAGAGAGAGAGAGTCTTCCATCCACTGGTTCACTCCCCAATTGGCCACAATGGCCAGAGCTGTGCTTATCTGAAGCCAGGAGCCAGGAGCTTCTTCTGGGTCTCCCACATGGGTGCAGGGGCCCAAGGACTTGGGCCATCTTTTGCTGCTTTCCCAGGCCATAGCAGAGAGCTGGATTGGAAGTGAGCAGCCAGTACTTGAACCAGCGCCCACATGGGATGCCGGCACTGCAGGCAGCGGCTTTACCCATCAATCTCTTCCCACCCCTATACAGAAGGTTCTCAGTTTCCAGTGGCTGATTTATGAATTGTTGACTCTGTGATGGTGGGAAAGTGAAATGTATTCAGTAGAAACCCTACTTCAAACAGATCTTTTTCTGGGCCTCTCTCTCCATGCTGGGCCACAGTAGCGATCGCAGCTCCCAGTCAGCCCCAGGGGAGTCAGCTGTGCATGGATGCTGGGCAGATTAGGAAGATTAAGTAAGTGCACTTTCAACTTAACGTTCTCAACCTACAGAGGGTTTATTGGAAGTAACTTTACAGAGAACCAAGGAGACGGCTGTTTCAAAAGCTTTGAGGGGCCAGCAGATGAAAGTGTTGCCTGCAACGCTGGCATCCCATACTGGAGCATCTGTTTTGCGTCCCGGCTGCTCCATATCCTGCCCAGCTCCCTGTTACTGTGCCTGGAAGGCAGCAGCAGATGGCCCAAGGACTTGGGCCTCTGCCACCCACATGGGGGACTAGGATGGAGTTCCAGGCTCCTGGCTTTGGCTTGGCTCAGCCCTGGCTGTTGTGCCCATCTGGGAAGTGAACCAGCAGATGGGAGATCACTCTCTCTCTTTGCCTTTCAAAAAAAAAAGCTCACTGAGCCCACCAGCAACAAGGCCTTCTCATAGCAATGTGAGTGGAGCCTCCAGTGAATTTTGGGGACCTGCCAGGGCCAGCCTAATGTGGTTATTATCCAAAAGTCTGGCAAGAGAGGTTGGGGGGCCATGGCCGGAGCTCTTCCCAGGCTCCTGGACACAAATGCAGACCCATCCCCTGCATGTTATCAGGGCCACGCCCTCCTGGGGCCTTCGAGGGTTGGGAGGGACGAGACTCCCGGGGCAGTGGGGCAGGCCCCAAGGCCCCCCGAAGCCAAGCTGCACAACTGATGGAAGATCTCTCACCCTGCCATTCAAATAAATAAAATTAAAATCAACTTGCCCCTTGTCCTCATTCTACTGCTAGGAATGGAGGCTCAGAGAAATAACAAGACTTGTTCAAGGCCCTCCAGCACTCACCACGGGCTCCCAAATCCTTCCTGGGCCTCGTCACTGCTCCAGCCACCCAAGCCTTGGGACTGGCAGCGGCAGGAACAGGAGGCTGCCCAGGTACCAAGTAAGAGACGGCAACCTAGGGCCAAGGATCCTACGTTTCCCACTGCAATTTTACAAAGTTATTTTATTCAACTTGGAAAATGATACAAATCCCTGGATATTTTGCTCTGGGGACGGGGGAGAGGAGTGGGCAGGAAGGAGGAGGAGGGCGCAGAGGCAAAGAAAGAGGTCACAGTGGCTGCCTGAGTCCTTGCCCGGGGGGGCTCAGGTCCGGAGAAACACCACGGTGAGGAGGCCTGGGGGCAGAGGACAAGAGAGAGCGAGGTCAGCAGCCTGCCCCTGGCGCCTCCCTCTCCCTTCTCTGAGTCCCGGGTCCCCAGCCACCACAACACTCACCCAGGACGTAGGCTGCCACCAGCTTCTGTCCCAGGGACACGTGCAGGACTTGGGGCAGCTGGCTGCCCACTTCGTCCTGGAGTGGGAGCAGCAAGAAGGCCACAGACACCATGCCGGTCAGCAAGAAGAGCAGGAAGGAGCTGGTGGCCAGCTGCTGGCGGGGGGCTGCGGGACAGGGCTCATCAGCAGCCGCGCTCTGCACTCCCGCCCGGCCTCAGGTGCTCCAGGGAGGGGGCTCCCCCAGGAGCCCCCAGGAGCGCAGTGCAAAGTACTCTCTCCTTGCCAGCGCCCGTGTCCCCGCAGCCACAGAGAGCCCTCTCTCCTCTAGCTCCCGGTCGTGTCTTTCCTCTCTTGTGCTTTCTTCTCGGCCTTCTGGGCGCCCACCTGACGGGCGGGGGCTATTCTCTACTTCCCATACCCAGCATGCAACTCAGCCCGGTGTGGTTGCTCAACACAGGTTTCTTACTGAACCGAACAGGGTTGGCACTGGACAGGAAGTATTGCAGTTAGACTGAAGAAGACTCCGTTCTCTCTGCATAGAAGCCAAAAGCCAGGAAACCTGCAGTCTTCCCTGTGCACCACCCTGCCCCACGTACTCCATATAAAACCTCAACTCTTAGGGCAAAAGGAGATCCCTGGAAACCCAATTAAGTTCGTGTCTAGGCTAACGCTAGCTCCTTCTCCCTACAGAAGCCCCATCCCTTCACTCACTCTCTTGGAAGGGTCTGGCCATGGGGGCTGCTGTCCCCGCAGGGGGCCCCAGCGGGGGCACCGGGTTGGGCTGTCCCTGCAGCTCAAGGGGGTGTGCTGGGGCTCTGAGAACCGAGGTGATGTCCTTGCGGCCCACCACTCGGCCATTGGCTCCCTCCTCCGACAGCTCAATGCGGAATCGGTCCCGGACATCGTAGTGGCTGGGGATGGGGGCCACATGGCGAATCACTCTGTCCCGCGGAGAGAAGTGGGAGGCGGTGACCAAACACCTCCGGCCGTGCACCCTCCACCCCCGACCCCACCCCCTGCCCTCCACCCCGGCCTCTCCCTCAGGCCTGGATCCCCAGACAGGACAAAGTCTCAGTGCCAAGACAACAGGTTGCAGCGACCCCTGGTTTTGGCCCATCTCCCCTCCCCACAATTCACTCACATGTCAATGCAGGACTGCGCCTTCACATAGCCCTCGGCCTCAAACACCGTGTATTTCGCAGGTGCTGTGCACAGGACTGGGGGTGAAGACGCACCAAGAGACGCTGGACAAGCCCCGGGGGGACGCCTTCGGCCCCAGGGCTGGACATCTGGCCCACCTCAACCAGCCCGCCCGCCCCCAGGTCCCTAGCGGTAGGCGCTCACTCCCTCACCTCGGAAGCAAAGCGCAGTTCCCGTGGGATTGTAGAGGGTCAGCAGCTGTCGGAGGCCGCTCCGCTGGTCCGCTCTGAATACTAGATCCAGGGGTAAGACGAGGACCGGAACAACCGGTCCCGAGGGAGGAGGGGCGCTCCGGGACCCCCGCCCAGGGGTCCCCGGACCCACCAGCTCCTGGTCCTGGGGCGCCCCCCGGCGCATGCAGGCTCTGGGCGGTCGGACATCCGAGGGCAGAACTAGGACAGGGCCTGGAGTCTAGGGCTGGGGACAAGATGCGACCGTGGGGCAGGGCCTGGACTGATGATGCCGCCGCCGCCGCCTCGGAGCCCCGCTCGAGGGGGCCCTCGCTGACCCAGGCCCAGGTCCCACACACCTGTCCCCTTCCAAGTTTTGCCCCAGGTCCCCCTTCAGATCCCGCCCCAAACCCAACCTCGATGGCCACGCCCACCCCACTAAACCTGCCCCTCGGTGCTCCCAATCCCGGCCTTCTCGTCAGGCTGGGTTCGCGGGCCCAACAAGTCCCGCCCACCTCAGAAGGTCCCGCCCCTTCCGGGCGTTCCGACGCTCCCGCCCCCCTCTTTCCGGCCGGACTCAGCCCGCTGTACAACTCTCCGGAGCTGCCTTTCACGCTCCCTGCCTTCCGACTCGCCTGTGTGCTCCCGACCCCTCCTCCCTGAGCTCGGCCCGCGTCTCGTCGGGCTTCCGGCTCCGAACGGCCGTTGGTGTTATGAGGCTCATCTGGTGGTCAAAACCCCTGCCAATCAGCTGGTAGCCCGACCAAGGCGGCCATATTCCCGCGGGTCCCTGTATCTGCACTTCCGCCGTACGACCTCTCCTATTGGCCGGACGGTCTCGTTTCCGCCGTAGCGACACGCCGATTGGTGCGCCTGAAGGCCAAACAGAAGGCCTCACCTCTTGGCGCCGGCGATTGGCTCGGTGACGGTGACGTAAGAGTTTAGCGCGAGTAGCCCCGAGTTAAGCGGGAGAGACGAGGGCGGAGCTGCGGGTTGAGCTTTGTCCTTCCCCTCTCCCTCGGAGAGCGAGGTCCTGGGTCTCCCGCGAGGAAGCGCTTCGCCTCGGCTTCTCGCAACAGAACCGCTGGAGGCTGCTCCCAGGTGGAACTCGGGCCTCGGCCCAGGGCTCCTATCCCGTTTCTCCCCGTGCGCACTGGTACCGCGGTCCCGCTCCGCCAGCCCCTGCCACGTACGTCATCCGGTAGAATCTTTTTTTTTTTTTTGACAGGCAGAGTGGACAGTGAGAGAGAGAGACAGAGAAAAAGGTCTTCCTTTGCCGTTGGTTCACCCTCCAATGGCTGCCGCGGCCAGTGCGCTGCGGCCGGCGCACCGCGCTGATCCGATGGCAGGAGCCAGGAGCCAGGTGCTTTTCCTGGTCTCCCATGGGGTGCAGGGCCCAAGCACCTGGGCCATCCTCCACTGCACTCCCTGGCCACAGCAGAGAGCTGGCCTGGAAGAGGGGCAACCGGGACAGAATCCGGCGCCCCGACTGGGACTAGAACCCGGTGTGCCGGCGCCGCAAGGCGGAGGATTAGCCTAGTGAGCCACGGCGCCGGCCGCCGGTAGAATCTTGATGGCTTTTACAGGTCAGGAAATAACCCCGACGAGGTGAGGAATCTCACCCTGAGCCGAACGTCAGCAGTGGAGCAAAAGCGAAATTGAGCCTATGAGGATAGCCTGTGTAGAATCCCCCCTTTGTCTTGTATTTCTTTTAACTGTAGAGAGCGCGCTCCCATCTGTGGGTTCACTCCCAGATGCCCACCACGCATCCAGCTGGTCCGCCGGGTGGCAGGAACCCAGACCCTTGAAATCGGAGATGACCCCCTATGCCTGCCTACTTCACCCTGAGCCAGCCCTGCGCCCCTCCAGGGTATGCCCTGGCATTAGCCAGGACTCGAACCCAGGTACTCCAGTGTGGGGTGTGAGCATCCAACCGCGAGGCGAGCGCCCACTCCTCCAACGTTCCTGTTCCTGCTACAGTACTGCTTGAACTCCTGCTGTATTCTTATTTATTTGGAAGGCAGAGTGGACAGAGAGGGAGAAGCAGAGGTCTTCCATGCACTGGTTCCCTCCACAGACATCGGCATCAGCTGGAGCCGGCCCGGCAGAAGCCAGAAACTCCCATCTGGGACTCCCCGTGGGGGTGGCAGGGCCCTCACTTGCTGCCTCCCGGGGGAGGGGGGGATTAGCAGAAAGCTGGGGGTGGGGCTGCACCCCAGGCACCCCACATGGATAGGGTACAGGTGTCTCCCGCTCCCACCTCGTTGTTTCTCTCTCTCCACAGAGTGCCTGGGGAGAATGCTGAGCCTGATGGGGTGTAGGAAGTGAGCAGTGAGGGCCCACGGGACACCCCTCTGTTGATTGCGTGAAAGAATCCACAGGGTGGGCTCGAAACCATAAAGTCGAGTTTTTTTTTTTTTTTTTTTTTTTTTTTCAGTTAAGAAATATTTATTCAGATAAGAGAGGGGCCCTGTGGGCCAGGAGTTGGAGCTGGCCTTGGTCTCACACCTGGGACTCGGCAGGTTGGGAGGGGCACTTCCGCTTGCTGAGGTTGGTGAGGATCTGGTGCTGGGTGGGCCGGTAGAGAACCACGAAGCTGTCCGGAGGGAGCACGGGAACTCCGTTCTCTTTCACCTGGCCCATCAGCAGGTAACTGGCTCCTGGGGAGGCGGGGTGGGCGGTGCGGTTACTGAGACCTTGGCCAGCTCCTGGCGCGGGTCCCACACCTCTGTCGCCTCTGCGTGGCTCAGCCGGCCCCTTCCCATTGCCCCGGGGTCTTTGTTACCTTTCTTCAGGGGGCGACAGTGCTTGCAGGGCACGTAAAACTTCAGGGAGGCGTCAGTGGGCGGAGAGGGCAGCTCCAGTCCTCCGGTTTTGTAAGCACCGATGAGACTGACCGTGACCCAGAGACCCTCGCCCGGGCCCCGAACTATGGACTTTACTGTCCCAGTCACCACTGCGGAAGAAGGGGGGTGAGAGATGAACAGCCAGGAGGCCAGGGCTCGGGGGTCCAGGGGAGAGGCTGGTTAGAGGAGGAGCGAGAGCAGGGCAGGGGCGGGGGGTGGGGGTGGGGGGGCGTCTTACCCAGGTTGCTGGTGCAGAAGTTGCTCTGCATGGTGCCTGTCCGCTGGCACTGCTTTGGGCAGGGGATGCTGGGTACATCTAGGAGGGAGGGGGCCAGGTTGGAAGGCTCCTGCTCCCCTTAGCGGCCTCATTGATCTGACTGGTCTAGAGCTCTCTCCAGCTCTGGGTCCCAGCCACTGGCAGCGGAGAGGCGCCAGGGAGTGAACGGAGTGACTGAGCCCAGGAGGAACGGGGAGGAACGGCCCTGTCCCCCTTCCTGGACTCACCGGGGTCCTGGGGAGGTGTCTTGGCCTCTGGCGGGGCCTCCGGCTTCCCTGCAGGTTGGACGCGCGGCTTCGTGGGCGGCTTGACTTTGGGTCCAACTCCCGGCTTAGAGCCAGAGTCGACGAGTGGGGGACCCGGCCGGGCGTCCTCTCCTGGGGCCTGGGCTGGCCCTTGCGCTGCTGTGCCCCGTGGCAGGATTCGGTAGGAGGCCGAGAAGCCGTCGGCGGTGACGCTGAGATCCGACACGAACTGGACAAGGAGCTCGTTCCCTTCGGAGGAAATGGGGCTGCGGGACATTGCGGGAGGAATCAGGCAGGCCCTTCCAGGCTCCAGGGCCTTTCAACCGCTGCGGGCCGGTCCAGGGGCCGCACCAGCTTCCCGGCTTCGCAGCCCCCATTTGGCTGTCAATTCAGACCCCGGCCAGAAGAGGGGCCAAGGCTCCCTTTACCTGGCCCCTTCCCCGCTCCGCCTACCCGTTTGCGCCCCCCCCCCCCCGGCTCGGACCCCGCCCCTCTGGTTGAGCCCCGCCCCTCAAAACAGCGGCTTTCACCTGGGACTGGAGGAGAGCCCAGACCCGCCGCGCACCCCGGGGCCGCCGCTCACCCCGGGGCCGTGTCGCCGCAGAACTTCCCCAGCCTCTTGGCGTCGTCGCTCACGGCTCCGTTGAACACGCTGACCGAGTCGTAGCGACAGTAGGTGTCCGGCTCCAGGTCAAACTTCCCGAAGGTCAGCGCGATGACCTGCCGGCGGACCGAGGCGGGGGCTGCGCGGCGGGACCCCTCACCTCCTCCACCCGAACGCCGCCTCCCGCACCTTTAACAGCAGTCGGGTCTGGCCTCTGGAACCCCCGGGTCCGCTCCCTCACCCCACTGCTGGGGGGGGGGGGTCACACACAGCCAAGGGACCCCCGGCTAGGGGTTGAGACCCTCGCGCCCGCCCGCACCTTGTACCTCGCTCTAAGATCCTCAGGTTGTAATTTTACATTTTTTGTGTGCGCGCGCAAGCCGGGTCTGGGCCTGGTTTTGGTCCGCACCGGCGCAAGCTCAGTGCACAGTCGACGTGTGCTGGCTGGCTGCAGGCTGGACGCCGCCCGAGTCCCCCACGGGCAGGCCCAGCAGAGGGTCAGTACCTGGTCAGGGGGCGCGATGATGTGCCAGGAACAGCTGATGCCCGGGGGATAATCCGACTCGGGCCAGTTGGGCGTGGTCAGGGTTCCCTGCTCCTTCTCCATCCGCCCCCCGCAAAACTGGTGCTCTGGGGAGGGGAGAGAGGAGCGGGGGTGGGGGGCGCTGGAGACCTTGGGTCGGCTCGGGGAGAGCGCTAGGCTGGGAGCCTGGACAGGAAGTTCGGGTGTCTGGGTCTCAGGATGAGGGGAGGAGACAGGAGGGCAGGTTAGCAGAGGCGGCCGGGTGGAGCTGGCGCCCCTGCGGGCAGCGGGAGGAGGAGGAGGAGGCATTGGCTGGGCGCGCTCCCTTCTGGCCCCTCCCCGACCGCTTCCCCTGGGAGATCCCATCCCCCCGGCCTGGCAGAAGGGTCCCCTTCGCAGGCTGGAGCGCCCCCACGCCGTGAGGGTGCCCTCGACTGGGGGCTTAGCCCCTGAGACCCCCAAGGGGAGGTCCCCGCCTGAAACACTTCAAGGAAGACTTCTGCCGCCAGGAGGGGGTGATGGGACCGCAATCGGGAGCCCAGGGCTGGACGTAGGGGGCTCCGGGTCGGGGGAACTTGGTCCCCCAGCCCTGGGGTGCCCCCTCGCGCCCATCGGAGGGAGCCCGATTGCGGACGAGGCCGGGCAATTACTCACCATCCCAGTAACCCCAGGCCGCCCATTCCACCCGCGGGTCGGTGACCCATTTCCGCCTCGCGCCTGGGGGGGGGCCTGGAAGACGGGGTGGGTGGGAGCGGGAGGGGGGAGAGAAGACCGGGAGGAGGGACTGAAGGGGCAGTTAGTGAGGAGGAAGGGCCAGGGAGGTCAGGGGGCCCTAGGCTCTCGGGCGCGGGGTGGGTTAGGGCTGGGGGCGGGGCCTGCGCCGGGGGCGGGGCCAGGAGGGGCAGGCGGAGGTGCGGGAGGGCTCACCAGTGCCCGAGGTGGCCCGCCCGCTGTACCAGAGCAGGAATCCTCGTCCTCCCGTGCCTTCGTCCGCTGTCATCCTTAGGGTCACCTGGTTGCCGGGGGCGACTAGAGGCGCCGGCCGGAAGGTTCCGCAGAAGCGCCCGAGCCGCTGGCCCGAGGTTCCAGACCCCGCAAAAACCTCCAGAGCATCGTAGCGGCAGGAGGGGTGCAGCTCCAGGTCAAAGACTCGGAAGGAGAGGGACACAGTCTGGCCCTCGGGGACCTGAGACGGGGGACAGGGGCGGGGACCCCCCAAAGTCAGGCCACACACAGATCCCTCTCCCCGGCGGTTCCTACACCACCGGCTTGAGGGGAAAGGGCCCACGTCTAGCTGAGCAGAGGGGGCTGTGCCAGAGACAAGACTGGGGTCTCGGAAAGAAGTGGGAGTGGAGAATCAGGAGTGGAGCTGTGAGTTAAGAGTTAAAGTGGGATGGACAGTGGGGGCGGGAGTGGAGGGGGCTTGGGCTGGCCCCGCTGTGGGGGAGTCCCCGTGGTGGTCGGGCCTTTTCCCTGGGAGACTTTGATCAGGGCAGTGACCAGAGGGGTCTCTCACCGTGATTGTCCAGATGCACTCTTTATTGGGGGGGTAGAGGTTGGGGAAACCCTCACTTGCCACGTAACCCGAATCCCCAGTCACATCCCCTCCGCACAGGAACACAGGTCTGGGGAACAGAAGAGGGGCTGTCAGGGGTGCGGGCAGCAGCAGAGAGATGGGGATAGGTAAGGACGGGAGGCTGGGGTCGCGGGAAAGAAAGGCCGAGGGGACTTGGGGTGGCTCAGCCACCAGGAAGGGGTGGGCTGGGGAAGACGCCGGCAGAGGGTAGAGAAAAAGCAGGACCCACAACTCAGGCTTCCCTCCAGCCCCCCAGAATCCCCACCCCCACCCCAACAGGAATTCCGGGAATCCTCAGCCCCTCTTCCCCACTCCCCCCCCTCCTCGTCCTGCCTGGCAGTCAGGGACAGGAGCTGCCTAACCACTTCCAGATGTGGACGCAGCCACGAGGCGATGTTGGGGGGGGGGAGGGGGCCGAGACCGAGCCCAGGCTCCCGAGCTCCCTACCTTTGACCTGGACCTGTTCCAGCAGACCACTGGGGTATCTGACTCCCAGGCCTCCCCCTTGCTGTCCCCTCCCCCCACCATCTCCCTCTAGCTTCTTCCTGGAAGCCAGATGTCCAGCTCCCAAGCAAGTTCAGGATCTTGGCTCCCTTAAACTCCATGGGGGGCCAAGGCTCTGGGTAGAGGGGGAGATTTAGGAGGGCAGAGGATCGGGAGTGGAGGGAGGGGAGCAGCAGAGTGTGGTCTTCAACAGGGGGGGAGATGTTGGGGGTGGGGTGCGAAGTCTCGGGGTGGTGTTAGCAAAAGGACCTCAGGATCCAGACATAACCCCCATGAAGCAGACAGTCTCGAAGCTCCCTGGAGCTATCTGCAAGATGCTGAGACCTACCTGGTGTAGTTGGGGGTCTGGCCCTGGGCGAGAGGAAGCAGGGCCCAGGCCGTGAGGAGGGGCCCCAGGAGGGAGGCTGTGGCAGCAGGAAGCATGTTGGGGGGGAGCAGCGCTGGGGTCCTCGACGGAGCAGCAGCTGAGTTTGGCGGAGGCGGCGGCAGCGGCAGCGGCAGCAGCAGCAGGATAATCAGTGCCAGATGAGGCAGCCCCAGGCGGGTGTGTGGGCGTGGGGACTGGCCAGCGGGGCGGGCGGCAGGAAGGCGGGACAGGGAGACAGAGCGGGACAGTGGCGAGTCCAGGGGCCTCTCTAGGTCTGGGACACATAAATATTGGCCTAAGTAGGGGGTGGCACGGTGAAGGCCACTGGGAGCATCCTCCAGGACCTCTGTGAGGTCCTCTGGAATGGCACTCCGCCTGGGGCCCGGGGCCGCCCAGGGGCATGGCCTCTGGGCCTTCCCTGGGGTTGTCCAGCCCGCCCTGACACTCCCGCCCCTGCTTCCGCAGCACCCAGAGTAAAGTCCCTCACAGGACTCCCACCCCGAACCATTCACCTCCTTCCTGGCCACCCCTCCCCCCCGGCCTGTTTTCCACTTCTACTGTGTCTCTCCAAGCCTGGGCCAGTGGGAGACCTGGCCAGGGAGGACGAATTCTGCTCACTCCTGTTTCTAAGTATTTGAAAGTCAGGAGTGGGGTCGGGAGGCATGAGGTGCTGTGGAAGGGAGTGGAACAGGGGGAAGGGAGGGGGCTGGCTCCCTGGGAGTGAAGATGTGGTCTCCTGGGGGTGGGGACACGTCCAGGAAACAGGAGCCATTGGCCCAGATAGTGTGTGTTCACCGAGTGGCCCCAGAAGGTGGGGTTAGGACTTCCAAGTCCCTCGGGCTGGCTGGGGTCTGCAGAGCGGGAAGTGCCAGGTGCCGGCGGCTCTGCAGCAGCTGAGAGCTGGCGCCGGTCCTGCCCTCCCTCACCTGCTGAGACAGGCATCGGCCCCCTCCCTCTATCCGTGATGACCCCTAGGCCCCAGGGCTCCAAACTGGGCCTCATTTCAGTCGTTTATTCTATTTGTCCATTAAATCTCTCGTCCATGATAGTCGGGTTGGGGGCCCCTCCTGGGCAGCCCCCGGAACATTTTATAAAAGAGGTCCTTGCCCTACCCTGGCGTGGTCAGCAGTCCCCACCCTGAGACCCCTCCCCACACGCAGCATTCATTACCACCAGCCAGTCTCCCCCTAGCCTGTGGCCCCGTCTAGGGGTGAGGCTGGGAGTGGGGAGTCAGCTCTCACGGGTCGGGGAGCCTGGGCTGACCCCGCCAGCTGCCCTCTGCAGCATGTCCAAGGCCTCCCAGAAGAAATCCTTCTGTGCGGCCATCAAGGGCATCCAGCCCACGATCTCCCTCATCTTCTCCATGCGCTCCTGCAGCGTGGGGCAGCTGTGGATCTGGATGAGGTACTCCTTGCAGGCCCGGGCAGCCCCCCCGGGGTCCTGCGATGCACAGGCCCCCGTGGGCTCTGGGGTCCTGCTGGCTGGCAGGTCCCGATAGGCGGTATGGTGCTCGATGTCATGGCTGGACAGCATGTAGAGGCACTCTCTGGTGGAGCAGAGGGAGCAGGCACACAGGGGGACCTGGGGGACGGAAGGGCGAGGCTGAGAGGGGCCAAGAAGCTGGGGCTAACCCTGCTCCTGTGTTCTTCCCTCCCAGGCCCTGCCCTGAGCCAGCAAGTGAGCTGTAGCTGGCTAAGTGCCAGGTTGTGCAAGGTCAGACGAGGCCAGTGGGGTCGGCTAAGGGAGAGCACAGTACGCCTGTAGGGAAGGGAGGTGGGGTGGTGCCGGGGAAATGGGGCCCCTGGGTTACTGCAGGGGTCCCAGCCACAGTCCTGGGGGCAACCTGGCTCCACCACTCTTGCCTTCCCGGCCTGCCCCTGCCCTGACCTTGACGTGGAGCCTGACGAAGGAGGCGCTTCCCTTAGGCCAGCCGGGGAGGCGGCCTCCAGCCCCACAGCCGCAGCCCAGCAGTTCCTTGCTGAAGTCGGAGCTCTGGCTCAGCACCAGGGAGTGGTTGAGGCCACACCACATGGCAATCGGGCATTGTAGATAATGTACCTGAGGGGACACAGGACCAGGGTCCCTGAGAGGGGAACGCTGGGGTTGGGGGGCCGGGTCAGAGCAGGGGGACTAGGAGGCTCAGGGCAGGGTGTAAACTGGAGGGGAAGGAAACGGGAGGCAGAAACCCTGCCTCCCTGAGGTCTGCTCTGCCCCTGCAGACTGGCAGCATCTGTCCCGCCTCCGCGTCCCGGCAGCCCCCAGGAGTCTGACTCCGTGAGGTCTAGCACTCGTTCCTCTTCTTCGCTCCCTGGAAAAGCAGCTCCTTGCAGAGGCCAGGGCCTGCTGTCTGCTCCTCCCCTCTCAGGCCAGTGCCGTTTCAGTTTAGCGGCCGCCCCCCACCATCCTGAATCTCCCTGCCTCTCTCCCTCCCTCCTCTCTCTAGCATTTTCCACTTGTCACCTCGTGCTCTTCCCAAGGGCCCCTGTTTTGAAGAAGTACTTCCATGGGATTCCGGCTGCTTCCTACCTCTGCCTTTGAAGCAGCAGAACTGGTGCCCTGACCAAATGGGTTTGACCACATTCTTGTCCCTGCCACAGCCAGGCCTCCCTGAGCCTCCTTGGGCCTGGCTTCTTTCCCTGCCACGCCCCTCACACGCTCTCCCCAGGGACGCTTGACCTCCCGGCTGCCAAATCTCAGGGCCCCTCCTACACACTCACTCCTCTTGAGACTGTCACCACTTTAATTCTGAAGGCGCAGACAAGTAATTTGTGGCTACTCTAGAAAAATCAAATATTGGCAAGCAAAAAATTAATTTAAAAAACCCAGGGAAACCCCACCACCTGTTACTAATATCTTGTTCAAGAGCCTTCGCTGTTGCCTAAACAAACACATGAGTTGTGTATTTTCTTTCTTTTTTTTTTTTCGACAGGCAGAGTGATAGTGAGAGAGAGAGACAGAAAGGTCTTCCTTTTGCCGTTGGTTCACCCTCCAATGGCCGCCATGGCTGACGCACCGCGCTGATCAAGGCAGGAGCCAGGTGCTTCTCCTGGTCTCCCATGGGGTGCAGGGCCCAAGCACTTGGGCCATCCTCCACTGCCTTCCCGGGCCACAGCAGAGAGCTGTCCTGGAAGAGGGGCAACGGGGACAGAATCCGGCGCCCCGACCAGGATTAGAACCCGGTGTGCCGGCGCTGCTAGGTGGAGGATTAGCCTAGTGAGCCGCGGCGCTGGCCTGGCTATGTAAACCCTTTGATACGTCCCCCCGCCCACCCCGCAAAACATGTGATAGGACCATCTTTCCGTATCAGGAAATGCATCCTGACAGTGTCACACGGTCACCATTGGCCGTCCACCTTCCCCAGCCTGTTTGACACTTTCCGCTCTCCTGCCTGCTAGGATGTGGCACCTGGGGCAGCTGCCCCGTCTCAGACACTTGCTTTCTTCACTCCCCTGCCTGCAGACGCCTGCTGGTGTCTCCACCTTTCTCCCAGTCCCCTCTGTCTCCTCACATCCTCACAGTTTCAAGGGCTTTTTTTTTTTTTTTTTTGATTTTTTTTTTCCCAACACCTCCTGGATCTGTTCCTTCCCATTCACGATCTTCCCTGGGCACTATGGCAGCTGACCTGGGGGGCCTTCTCCTCCTGCTCAGAGTCTGCAAGGACTTTTCCCCAACTCTGCACTTCCCAAGCCCGGTGCCCATCTCCACCACCTCACACTCCCTGCATCCCTGCACCCCTTCTCTGCTCTAGCCAGCCCAGACCTCCCACTGACCAGGGGTGTGCAGGCTTCACCCTGTCCCATTCCCTACTGCCTGGGGTGCCTTTCCCAGTCCCTGCCTGGGTCCTCTCTAACCCAGCAGACCCTCTCACATCTCCTCTCTTCTTGCTACTGTGGCCACTGTAGGGATTCCAACTGCACTCACAGCACAGACCTCGCAGTGCCAACCCTTGGGGAAAGAGGACCCCAGTGTCACAGGAACCACAGGCTGACTGCCTAGCTGTCCTGGGAAGTGGAAGTGGGTTCTAAGGAACCCAGAGAGTGGACAGGCCCAGGGATTAGGGAATCTGAGGATGGGGTGGGGATGAAGCTGCCCGCAAACGACCTCACCTGCGTGGGTTCCCCTCGGTCCATTTTGTCCCCTGTTCCCAGCTGCCCGTATCGGTTATTTCCCTGCATAAAGATTCGGCCAAATTCATCCACCAGGCCAAGATGATTATAGCCAAGAGCACAGAATAGGATCTAAGAGGGAAGACAGAGAGGGGAGGTGGGCACTCAGCTCCCTGCAGAGCAATGGGAGCTCCAGGACCTCCCGACTGCTGACTTGCGTCCCCCGCGGAACTCTACCGTGCCCTGTGCCCCGTCCCACCCGGTCCCCCGGCACCTGATCTGAAGCTCCCTGCCCCGCCCCGCCCCGCCTCTGGTGTGCCCCATCCCTCTAGGATCCTACCTTGGCAGGCAGTGAGAGAGCAAGTGGCATCTGCTGGTCCAGGGGGTCAAAGGCTTGAAGGGTCCCAAAGAGATCACGATACACCCCTGGGGTATGCACCTCAAAATACACTCCACCCTGGTCTGGGGGGTCGGGCGCCCTCAGCTCAGCGGCTTTGGGCACCCGTTTCCTAGGGCTAAGTCCCCACCTGGGAAGAAAGCAGCAAGATCTAGGGAGGCTCACACCCAGGAGAAATGCGCGAGCTATGCCGCCCAGGTACCTGACCACAGCGTCTCACTGAGATGCCCCCAGGGGTTCAGCATCAAGCTCTGGGGTCAGGGCTGCCAGTAGATGGGGGGCTGCTCATGATGGGGTCCTACGATGAGGGAGGTGGTTCTTACCTGTGATGTAGAGGGTACTGCTTTGGTTGGAGGCCATGCAGGTCACACGCAGGTGAGGCAGGCAGCGGGACACCTTCCGCAGGGTCAGCTGGACGGTGTAGGAGCGGGGCTGATCTAGCTGCGTCTCATTTACTACCAAAGAGTAGATCTTGCCTTCCTCTGGGGGTTGGGGGAGGCAGACAATTATGTGGGGGAGGGGCCTCTCCAACGTCCATGTTATTGTCCAAAAGACTCCCTAAGCCAGGGATCAAACATTTCTGCCCTAGGGTGGGACTGGGGGGAAAAAAGTGGAAATGATATAAAGGAAGAATGACTTCAAGTCTCCCAGAGCTCAGCCCCTGAAATGAACCAGAGAAGGTACTTCAACAAAAACCTGGTGGCAAGTTGTCAGCTTTGGAAGAAGCCATTTGAGTGTTGGGAAGCATGAAGTCTGAGGATCTGGGGCCCTGCCTGGCATTCAGACATCCAGAATTTGAGGATGTGGTCAAGTACAGAGGACACTGGGAAAGTCGGGGGGCAGTGCTGAGTACTGAGTGAGGTGCCTGTCATGGATGCTTGGAGGGGTTAGAATTCAAAAATTCAGGCACTCATCAGAGCAGTGTTTTACAAACTCCTTGTTGGGAGCAGGACCCTTTGCGCATGTTGGCATATTATGCAGAGTCCTGGCCTAGAAGACAAACAGAGCTATCCGGATTGACAGGAGGAGGAGGTAGCCTTTGGAGTCCTGAGAAGTGTCCATCCCCTCCCCCCCCCCGCTCCACCACCCCACGGCAGGTCCTGGAGAAACTGCAGGAGACCCTGGGCAAACCACAGCTCTAGGTCGCACCTGTGAGGAGCAGCAGCGCCCGGTGGGTCTCCTGCCCAACCAGCACGATCTGTTTGAAGCTCATGGAGTGGTGGAAGGTCATCTTGAAGACTCGCTGCCCGCTGGACTGCAGATAGACCTCAACACAGTCACAGGCCCGGTTGCCGGTTGCACCAACCACTCCTGACTGCTCTCGAGTGGCCAGGACGTAGAGGTACTTCCGGTAAACCGTGTCACATCTTGGGTCTGAGGCGAACTGTGAGGGAGGATGAGGGTGTCTGGGATCAGGGGTGAGGTGGGGCTGTAGGTGGGACATGAGACACTTGGGTGCTGGGTGGGGAAATGAGGTTTTCTGGTTCCTGACGGGGACACGTAGGGACTGGCAGGGCCTGGTTCCTTGGGGGGTGGAGGGTGGCTCTCGGCTGCCAGTGTTCTACTCACATCCTTGGCTCCACGACACAACACAACATAGCGGCAGGCCCGCTTCCACTGGATTTGGCCAAGGGTGGAGGAGACCAGGGCGTTTTTGAGGAAGAAGAGCGTCCCCACATAGTCCAGAATGAAGACGTGGTCCTTGGTGGGCAGGAAGCGGCGGTAGCCATGGGCTAGCAGGGGGGCCACGCTCTTGCTGACACACCGGCGGCGGCCTCCAAAGGCCTGGAAATACAGCCCCTTGGTGTCTGGAGAAGGGAAGGAGATGGAAGGTTCATGGGGCAGAGGGGGACACAGGGGAATGAGTCACGGTTTGGGCAAACTGGATTTCTCAAGACACCCTGGTGTTTAGCTCCTCCTCCTCCCCAGGACTGGGGTGTAGCCCCTTCCAAGGGAGATGTGGACAGCTGAGGTTCTATCCCACGTCTGAACCTTCGTTCTCTGCCCCACCACAGCCCAGGGCAGATGCTGCTTCTCACTGAGCGCTTCTTGGCATCGCCAACCTTGCATCAGAGGCGTCAAGGGGAACATGGGAATAAAAACGCAGAAGAGAGGCAGAAAGAGGAGAGAAAGGGAATGGCTGAGAAGCACCAGTAACCTCCCGCCCCCCCAGCTCTGGCTCTGCTTTCTGGACCAATCTCCTGATCTGTGTGAAAGGAAGCCGTGGGACCGGGGCGCCCTTGGAGGGGCACAGGTGCAGCCTGGTTCCCCAGCTGGGGGTGATCTTGTCCCTCAGGGGATGTGGCTTGTCACAACTAGGGGAGGTGTTGCTGGCATCTAGTGGGTAGGGGCCAACGTTCTGCTAAACACGCTCAAATGCACAGGACAGCAAAGGAGGGATTTGTCCAAAATGCTGGTGGTGACAAGGCCGAGAACCCCAGTTTAGAGGAGGGAGAAAGCTCAGGGGTGGGGAGCCGGGGATGCCTCTAAGGCAAGACCTGGAGTGAGACCTGGCAGGGATGCTACTGAGGGGCGGTGGGGGAGTCTGTCGGCAGGGGGGGGCTCTAGGGTCTTGGAGGAAGTAGTCAAGGGAGTCTGTTTGAATCTGACAGGTTCCTTCCAGAGGAAAGGGAGAGAAGGAAGGTTGGCTGGGACGCAGCCGTAGAGAGCAGGAGGGACCCCACTGTATGGACAAAGGCAAGGAGAAGAGGCTCTGGGGGAGATGTACAGTTAAGAATGGCAGCTCTCTTCCAGGGCCGGACCCCGGATCCCTGCTCTCGGAGGCGGGGACTGAGCTTGTGGCAGATGCGTCTCCACACGCCCTCGGCATCGCACACTTGGTGGAAGTAGTGGCAGGTCCGGCCTAGGGCGATCACGTCTCTGACAGGGAGGAAGGAGATGATGTGCTCCACCTGGGGACGGGGAGGAGGCAGGCGTCATCGGCAGCCCCTGGGCGGTCTGGCCCCAGCGCTTCACCCTCGGCGGCGCCCCCCACCCCCGCCCCGAGGACTCACCAGCTCTGGGGGGAACAACTGAACAGAGACAGGGCTCCCTCTGCCCTGCTTCTCTTCACCCCCAGGCTCCGGGCCACAGGAAGGGCAGGTCCGCTTCACCTGCCCAGAGAAGGGGGATGCGTGGTTCTACGGGGGTCTCGCTTCGTCCTCCCTCCTCTGTTCCTCTTCCGTGGGTTCCCGTCTTGGGGCTCCTCTCAAACCGGCTCTCTCCAGGTCCACTGGCCACCCCTCCCCCAGCTCTGGCTGCCCTGAGTTCCCTGCCCTGCCCTTGCCTGGCCACCCCCTCACCCTGAGCCCCTCCTCCCGTCTGCACAGCCCAGTGAATTTTTGCAGCTTCCGTCTCTGGCTTCTCCTCACCATCCTGACTGCCCCCTCCCTGCTCCTGCCCTCATCTCTCTGGGCCCCTGGGCCCCCCGTACGCAGTTCCCTGGCCCCCGGCCCTGCTGCCTTTCCCACACCATGTCCCCTGCCTGGGCTTGGGGGGCTTTTAGGGCCCCTCTGCCTTCAAGGCCCCTCCCTCATGGAGTCTGGGGCAAACAAACCTCTCTGTGACCTCACTGTCCAGCCACTGTGACCTGTTCCCCTTAACCTGGCTCTGGACTTTATCTTCTAGCTCCTGGGTTCCAACTCAGCTCTGGCCACCTGACGACTCATAGAATGTGCATTTGACTGGAGAAATAAAGTCTGTGTTCCTGGCAGACGAGGCCTGTACTTTCGGGACCTGCAGGAGGTTTTCCCACTTGAGGCCCTTGTAGCACCGATGCTGCAAAGAAACACTGCAGAACCCTTGACGCCTGAGCAGGCTGGGGCCTCTTGGGGACCCGGGCCAGGCCCACCCAGCTCACAAAAGCATGCACGGGATGGGAGTGGGAACAGTTCAGCACAAATTCTGCACAGTCTCACGAAAGGCTAAAGCAGACCGCGTTCTTAGTATGGACACTGCACGTGTGAAGACAACCTAGTGAGGTAGGAGAAAGGGATGACCTGACTGTGACAGCTTAGGACACCTCCCAGAATCTGAGCTCTTAGCTTTGTCTTATGGGGGGTGGGCGGGGGGGCATTTACGAGGAGAAAGCACAGGAGCTGGTGTTGTAGCCATCCAGGTAGGGGCCAGAGATGTGCACCAATAAGTCCCAGGCGTCGCTGACTCTTCCAGGGGCCCATAGCAACCCAGTCCTGCTGGCCAGCGAGCTCCTCTGTGCAGGGCTGCATAGACTGTTTCGTTAGCTGCGCTGGCGAACAAGCTGTCCACCACGCCATCTGACTCCCTTGCTCACGGTGACAAGCAAACACCTAGTTTGCAACACCCAAGATGGAATGTTCACTTAACAGATGTTCAGGAAATCAGCAGTAGGGACGCAGCGTCATCAGCCATCCTGTGGCTGGGCCACGGACAGCACAGAAGTGGCCTCTCGGTCGCTGATGGCGCTACCAGGATGCTACCAACTCCGAGAAGGCCATGTTTTGTCTCGCATCTCAGTCCCCCTCCTCTTTCTCCATTTCAGCCCATGGAGCAAGCAAGAGGTGGTGTCACTGTACAAAGGGGGGGGGGCGCTGCGTGGAGCACTGGGGGTTGTCAGGAACTTGCAGGCTGCCCTCTGCCTCAGTTTCCTGATTTGGAAAACGAAGAACTTGTTCTCATTCTGTCACGGGGCTAGTGTAGACTCACAGCGGGTTAAGCCCCGGGCTGTAACCCCATCGTCCCACATGAGCGCCAGTTCGAGTCCCGGCTGCTCTACTTCCCAGCCTGCTCCCTGCTAATGTGCCTGAGAAAGCGGTGGACGATGGCGCGAGTTCTTGGGCCCCCGCCATCCATGTGGGAGACGCGAATGGAGTTCCAGGCTCCTGGCTTCCGTCTGGTCCTGCCCCGACAGCTGTGGGCATCTGGGAAGTGAACCAGTGGACGGAAGATCTCTGTCTCTCCCTCTCTTAAAAACAGAAAGCCCAGGTCTGGTCATCACGACTGCGGCCGCGCGGAGCTGCTCGGGCTGGGTGTCTACAGCCCCCAGGAAGCCGCCCGCCCGGGACCCGAGATCCTAGCGGCCCCTCAGCCTCCGCAGCCAGAAACGGTCCCCGCGGTCCCTTCGGCTGCGACAACGGCCTGCACACTGGCTCCCTGGCTAGCTCCCTAACGCGTCTAGCGTGCGCCACGCTACTTCAGCCCCCGCACTGCTCTCTCCCGGCCAACCCGGCACGCCTCCCTCACATTCTTTACCTCAAAGTTCTAGCTCACCCGCCTCCTCCTTAGCGAAGGGACCGCCTTCTCGCCCATGCTACTGGTAGGTAGGCCCGTCCCTCAGAGAAAGAGGCTGGGCCTGATTTCCTCCGAAGGATCTAATTGGTCTTCTCGACAATCACTTGTCTGTATCTGGCTTGCAATTGGATTTCGTTGGACGAAGCTCTGGGCGGCCTGCGGCTTCTAGTCTCCGCCTCTATTCCTTCTAGAGGAGCCCCGTCGTCCCCGCCTCCCGGTTGGACCTGATTGGCTCCATCGCAAGCCATCTAAGCACGGTGATTGGATACGGCTGCGCGGGGCGGGCTGGGCTTGGAGCGTCGGCCGTTAGCGTGCGCTCCATTCTAGTCCCCCTCCCATCCCGCTCCGGGCTCCAGGCACAGAGGCTCCGCCCCCCGGCGGGCTCTGATTAGCCGCTTCCGTCGCGTCTCGGGCCCACGATTGGTCCGCTGGTCCGTGACCCCGCTTCCTCCCCCTCGAGACGACTACGGCAGCCCCGAGGAGGGGGAGGGGGACGGAGGGACGGCCGGTCCCGTCAGTCAGGCCGCGGGAGCCGCCGGGAGCGGATGGCGGCGGCGGTAGCGGCCCCACTCGCCGCCGGTGGTGAGGAGGCGACGGCCACGATCTCCGTGCCAGGGTCTCCTGGTCTGCCCGGGAGCCGCAGTGCAGAGCGGGCCCTAGAGGAGGCCGTGGCCACCGGGACCCTGAACCTGTCTAACCGGCGCTTGAAGCACTTCCCCCGGGGCGCGGCCCGCAGCTACGACCTGTCCGACATCACCCAGGCTGGTGAGTGGCTCGGGCCCCGGGCCCCGGGCCCGACTGGGACCATCATTTGCATAGCCTCGCCCCCACTCTTGCCCCGCCCCTCCGGGAGCCCAGCCCGCCCCTTCACCTGGCTGTCGGGAGCCCCCGCCGCTCCCGAGTGACATCAGCCTGCGAACACCCCCTCCCCGTTGTAGGACCCCTTAGACAATGAACACTTTCCTCGGTTGCACTGGACGCCTAGCGTTTCGGGCCTTGCGTTGTCAGGCACTCGCTTTATTTGCATACCTGCGCACCTGTAGAAGGGTCCCGCCCCTCACCTGGTTGGTTCATTTGCATGACCTTCCACCTCAGTTCTGATCGTTCCATAAAGCAGCCTCCGCGAGCGCCTCTAACCATTCCTTCTGCAACTCCTGCCCCCTTTTCACCGAGATCCGAGCAGCCCCGGGCACCCCCTTGGCGTGCCTGGTGGTCCCGGACCACCTGATGCATCTGCTTGCTTTGCCGGGGTCCCGCCCACCAAGGTCCCCCAGCCAGCCAATGGGAAAGGAGCAGGTCTCCGGGCTCCCCTCACTCTTTTCTCCCTAAGCTCTTCCGCCTGTTTGCCCGAGCCCTCGTCCCAGGCTTTTCCTCGTCCCCGCGCTGTGAGGTCACTGCGGGGCCTGTGACTTCATAGGTGTCCTGGAATTCCCATGGCAGTTTCTGCTTTCCCAAGGGGGAGGAACTGAGGCAGTGGCTGAGAGGAGGGAGGGCTGGCAGTGCCGGGCCAGCTCAGGGCTCCCCTCCACCCTCGTGCCTGTTGGTGCTAGGGGGTGGGAGACTCTGCCGTGACAGGTGAGTCAGGCCACAGCTGCCCAGGACGCAGCCTCTGCTCTGGCGCTGGCAGCTGGGGGGTGGGGACCAGGAGCAGGGCGGAGGCCCGCATTCCCTGCTGGGGTGTGAAGAGGCCTCCCTCGGCCTCTCCTCCCTCAGTGGGGCTGGGCCGAGGAGCGCATTGCTTCTCCAGCAGGTGCCGGCTCACCTGCGTGGGTCGGCTGGCCTGGACACGCTGTCGCCCTTTCAGCCTCTCCGCTTGCCTCGCTGGCTGTGCAGTGAGTTGGGGAACGGGGTGAGCCCCAGGGGCCGTTCCCATCCCTCAGTCCTGCCCCCCCCAACCCCCAGCTCCAGATTGACCTCAGCAGCTGTGTGACACTCGCCCCTCCCCCTCGCTTGTTTTTTGACAAAGACCAAATGTTATTCTTTACTTCCTCAGGGCTCTGGCTCAGTGAGTGGACTCTTGGGGAAAACTACCCAGAACTCCCAGCTCCCGCCCCCCCCCCCCCAGCATTCCGGCTCTGGGTGCAGCAGATGCTTCTGTGTGCTCTCTGGGGAGGTCCCAGCTTCCTGAGAATCCCCAGCAGTTAGCCCTTTGGGGCCCAGGTTCGAGACCAGGTGGGGTCCATCTCGGGTCCAGAACGCTCTCCTCGGTGCCCCTCCCCACCGCAGGGCACTCATGGCCTGGGGCAGAAAGGGGAAGTGACACAAACAAAGCTGCCCATACCCCGTCCCGAAAGGCTGCTTGCCCACCACCCAGACAGGAGGCCTCCGAGCTCCGCTGCCCCAGCCACTCTGAACACCCCCTCGCCATCCCTGTCTCCCCGGGGCCGGTCCTGATATCCCCTGGACTCTGTTCCCTGGCGGGGGGAGGGGTGCCTCCAGCAAAGGAGAAGTATGGCTCCTTCTCTCACAGACCACATCCTGTGCCCCGTGCCCTGCCTCCTCCAGCACGGGCTCCCTTCCGCTCCTAGCTTTTGCCCCCGCCTCTGCTCGCCCCATCCGAACTTGGCCTCTTCACCCACGAGTGCACACGCAAACACAGTTGTGGACAGAGAAAGCGGGCAGGTGGAGGGCGCGGGTGGGGAGACCGGATGCAGCCCTCCCACCCTCTCCGGAACTGACTTCTGCTGCTGGGTCTCCTGTCTGTGTGCACCAGGGCTGGGGCAGAGACAGGGAGAGCAGCGCCCAAGGCATCAGGCTGTGAGCCACCCCGGCGAACACAGGGCCCAGCGCGCGGTTGTCTCTACTGTGTTTCCTGTCACAAGACTCATTTCCTTGGGGGATATACCCCAGCTCCCCCCCCCCACACACCAGCTTGGGCTCGCCCCTCCCTGAGGAGGCCCTTGAAGAAGCTCACCCAAGTTCTGCCGCCTGGGACTTCCCGCAGCAGGCCCGGAGCCCCTCCCAGTACAGGCTGCATAGAGGAAACAAGAGCGGGCCTCTAGAGACCTGGACGGTCAGTGTGTCCGCCCTGGAGAGGACCCCAAGGCCTGCCTCCTGGCATGGGGACAGCGAGATGCTGGCTGGGGGGGGGGGGTCATGGCCTCTGCCATCCCCTCCTGTCACCCCCTCCACTTCTCGCCTTGCTGAAGGCGCACGCAGAGGTGCGGAGCTCTTGAGGTTCCAGGGCAGTAAGGAAGGAAGTAGAAGGAGACTGATGGGGCTGGCAGGAGGGCGAGAAGGCCAGGCCTGGGGCAGGGGAACCCAGAGGGGGCGCTTAAGGGCTCAGCTTCCAGCTCAGCCAGGCCTCCTTGTCCCCGTCGCCCACCCCCACCCCCGTCCTTGGGAATCTGGGGCTTCCTGGTCCCTTAGAGCTGGTGAAAGACTTGTGTCTGCAGCCAGCTTTAGTGACCTTTGCATTCTCCATCGAGAACGGGAGGAAGGCCCCTGAGAGGATGAGTCCTGCCTTAGGGATTTTCCGTATGGGGCCTCCCAGCCCGTGAGCTCACGGTTCTCTCCTGAGCACCAACCCTATTTTTCTTTTTCTTTTTTTATTTGATTAATTTGTTTATTTGAAATGCAGAGTTAGAGAGAGAGGGAAAGACAGAGAGAGAAAGATCTCCTATTTGCTGGTTCACTCTCCAGATGGCCCCAACAGCCAGAGCTGAGCTGATCCAAAGCCAGGAGCCAGGAGCTTCTTCCGGGTCTCCCACATGGGTACAGGGGCCCAAAGACCTGGCCATCTTCTGTTGCTTTCTCAGGCCCTAGCAGGGAGCTGGATTGGAAGTGGAGCAGCCAGGACTTGAACTGGTGACCATATGGGATGGTGGCACTGTAGGCAATGGCTTAACGTGCTATGCTATAGTGCCAGCCCCCGGAGCACCAACCCTCCTTGACTTTTTGCTTCCAGCTCCCTGGCATTTCGGATGGATGGGAGCCACCAAGGTGACAGAACCGTCCTCCCTTGCAGGACAGCTCTTCGTCTGTGCGTCTGAAGACGGTGTTTGTGGCGTATTCCTCTCCCCCAAGTCTGAGCTTTTCTAGCTCAGTGACCCCAAGTCCTTTGTCATGCCCTTGTCACCCTGGTCATGCTCAGACGATGCTCAGGCTGCCCAAGGCTTTGCTATTTCTCCCAGGAGCACAGGTTTCTAGGCCTGATTCTGTAGGTCTGGGGGCAGAGAGCTGGGCAGCTGGCTCAGATGAAGTTCCAGGCCCTTCTGTCCAGGGCTGGCTCTTTCTGCAGCTGCCCCCTGACCTGTCTTCCACTTGCCTCCCCCAGACCTGTCCCGGAACCGGTTTCCCGAGGTGCCGGAGGCAGCGTGCCAGCTAGTGTCCCTGGAGGGCCTGAGCCTCTACCACAACTGCCTGAGATGCCTGAACCCGGCCTTGGGGAATCTCACAGCCCTCACCTACCTCAACCTCAGGTAGGGTGGGGACCTTGTCCTTCTCAGCCTCCAGGACCCGAGTGACCCTGCTGGTGGCTCTGAGAGGAGGGCAGAGCGGACACTGTGCCCGGGGAGTGAGCCCACTGCCTTTCTCCCTCTTGCAGCCGAAACCAGCTGTCCTCGCTGCCGCCTTATATCTGCCAGCTGCCCCTGCGGGTGCTCATTGTCAGCAACAACAAGCTGGGGGCCCTGCCTCCTGACGTGGGCGCCCTGGGGAGCCTGCGACAGCTCGTAAGGATGGGGAGCAGGGCGAGGGGAGGGGCCGTGCGGCCAGGCACCAGGGCCGCCTTGGGGAAGCTGGGGGAGGCCTGGCCAGGGGCGGAGGGTGGTTTCTGAGGGCTCTTTCCTTGCCCCTTCGTGGTCGCAGGACGTGAGCAGCAACGAGCTGCAGTCCCTCCCCGTGGAACTGTGTGGCCTCTCTTCCCTGCGGGATCTCAACGTTCGGAGGAACCAGCTCAGCACCCTGCCCGATGGTGAGGGGCCAGGGCAGAGGGCTCTCGCGCGGAAACAGCACGCGTGGGGTGGCTTGTAGCCGGCGGAAGTCTGCTGCTCATGTTTCTGGAAGCTGGGAGTCCAGGATCAGGGGGCCAGTATGGTGCGGTTCAGGCAGTGGCCCCTGTCTGGGTTGCTGACTTCTGCCCTCGAGGGCTTTCTTGAAGGCTCCATGCTAGTGACCTAAGTAACTTCCCAAAAGCTGCGCCTCCTAATGCCATCCCTTTAGGGGTTGCAGTTTCTTTCTAAAAATGTCTACTTGTTTTTGAAAGGCAGAGAAACAGTGAGAGAAAGAGACAGATCTCCCAGCCACTGGTTCACTCCCTAAATGCCTGCAACAATCCGTGCTGGGGCAGACCAAACCTGGCGGCTGGGAACGCAACCTGAATGTCCCGTGTGAGTGCCAGGGACCCAGGTACTTGAGCCATCACCCAGTGCTTCCGGGGTTTGCATGGCCAGGAAGCTGGTCTCAGGACTGAAGCCGGGGCTCAGATCCAGGCACTCTGATGTGGGATTTGGACACCACAGTGGCGTTTTAACTGCTGTACTAAATGCCCACCCCATGGGTATCATTACAATGTAAGACTTTGAGTGGGAGCTGGTGCTGTGGTATAGCGGGTAAAGTCCCTGCTGCTCCACTTCCCATCCAGCTCTCCTGTGGCCTGGGAAGGCAGTGGAAGATGGCTCAAGTGCTTGGGCCCCTGCACCCATGTGGGAGACCTGGAAGAAGCTCCAGGCTCCTGGCTTCAGATAGGCCCAGCTCCAGCTGTTGTGGCCATTTGGGGAGTGAACCAGCGGATGGAAGATCTCTCTCTCTCTCTCTTGCTCTCCCTGCCTCTTTGTAACTCTGCCTTTCAAATAATAAGTAAATAAATTGTAAAAAAGTGCATTAAAAAAAGAACTTTGAGGGGAGCCAAGCATTCGGTGGAAAACAGTGCATCAGCCTTGGAGAGTCTTCAAGGAAGAATCATGGCTTAGTTACCCAGGGTTTTGCAGTATATAAAACAAACTGTAAATGAATGTATTTGATCTTTACCATAAGAACTCCCTGAGGCTGGTAAGGTGTGGATTCTTCAGTTTATTTTACAAATGCGGAAGCAGGCACAGAAAAGGCAGTGTGTGAGTGCGCTGGCTCTGTGCCGAAGGGGCCTGCGAGGTCACCCAGCGTCACTGCTGATCCCACAGGAGCTCTCTGATAGCTGAGTCCCTGAGTCAGCTGATGCCCCACGCCGCCGCCTCCGTGGGGGCTGCATGCTGGAGCCCCGGCAGCGCCACCTGAACCAGCTAATTGTGCCGCCAGCATGTGCTAGCCTCTGCTGCCTTTTTCTTCCCAGGGTTGCTGTGTGCGCCTCCATGTTTAGGTGGGGGCTGGGGAGATGTGGGTGATATGACTGCGACCAACTCTTCAGGGTTTAATGGCTTAGTGGGGAGAGACAACGTTCTTAGGGAAATGTTAGTGCGGGATCCTGACAGAGCCAGGGCAGCTAAGACCCCTGGGGGCAGCGGCGTGGCAGGAGCAGACCTCTACGGAGCATCCCCCGCCTCCCACGTCCAGGCAGAGGACCGTCCACTGCAGGTGGCAGGAGCAGGGCCAGCACAGATGCCGTAGAAGGCAGGCCAGGGCGGGGCAGGAGGGGCCTGGTGCCGCGCGAAGAGAGCAGACTTGGCTTTGAAGGACAGGAGGGGAGTGTGTGAGTGTCAGCAGGGGCACAGCAGCTAATGCCCCTTGAACGCAGCGAAAGTCCTAACCAAAAGCCTGAAGAAGGAAGCTCCATGCAAGAAGGAAGACTGTCTTGGGGCCGCTCACGTGTGGGAGTCCAGACTGGGGCGGCCAGCAGCCCGGGCGTAGCTGCATGGAGGCTTCCTGTGCATGGGAAATTGTTTTATACATTTGCAAATTAATGGGGAGTTGGGGGTTGGAACTTGTGTTACAACATCCCTTTGCTATTTTTTTTTTTTTTTTTAAGATTTATCCTCTTATTTGAAAAAGTTACACAGAGAGAGAAGGAGAGGCAGAGAGAGAGAGAGGGAGAGAGAGGCCTTGCATCCACTGGCCCACTCCCCAACTGGCTGCAATGGCTGGAGCTGTGCTGATCCGAAGCCAGGAGCTGGGAACCTCCCCCAGGTCTCTCACAGGCGCAAGGGCCCAAGGACTTGGGCCATCCTCTCCTGACTTCCCAGGCAACAGCAGAGAGCCAGATTGGAAGTAGAGCAGCTGGGACTTGGACTGGTGCCCGCTTGGGATACCGGCACTATAGGCGGCGGCTCTACCCGCTATGCCACAGCGCCAGCCACCTTTTACCATTCCTTTAGAATAACCCCTTGGACATCCAGTTTCTGAGATGTCTGCCTCATCAGAAGGACTTGTGATGCCACTTAACTCTGTGGCAGGAGAGTGGCCCTGTTAGGCTGATGGGGTCAGTGGCCTTCTGAGAGAGAGCGGATTGGGGAGGGGGAGGCAGGACCTGAGAAGGCATTGCTGTGGTTTGCTGTCACACAGGGAGTCGGGGGTCATCCGTTTTCTCTACTTCCCCACCGCCTCTTCCTGCCTGCTTCCTTCCCGGTCAGCAGGTGCCTTAACCCATTTTCCACTGCGACAACAAAACACCTGAGGCTGAGTCATTTATAAAGAATAGAAGTTTATTTGGCTAATGAGTTCGGAGGCTGGAAAGTCGGAGTGTGGCGCTGGCATCTGCTCAGCTTCTGGTGAGGGCCACGTGCTGTGTCGGCACTGCAGAGGGCATCCAGGCAGGCCAGAAACAGCTTTTATAATCAAGTGAGACGGAAGCAAGCCAGAGAGAGCTTGCTTTTATACCAGAGCTACTGCCTCAGTACCCATAAGCCACTAATCCACCCGTGGATTAATCCAGTCTTGAGGACAGAGCCCTCTGTGCCTGGTCATTCCCAGAGGGTTCACCTCCAAATAGCATTAACACAGGATTTGGGGATTGAGTTTCCATTGCATGAAATTGGGGAATGAACCCTCCAACCATTGCAGTAAGGGTCCAAGTAAGCATTTGATCAGGGTGCTCTGTGGGCCATAAAGAGAGATCCAAGCAGAATGTCCTGGGGACAGAGAGGGACCGATGAGTTCCGTGAACCTGAGGTGTCTGGAAAGGGTCGTGGAAGAGGTGACGCTGGAACTGAACCCTAAAAGGTGCCTGGGTAGGAAAACAGATTCTCCCAGCTGAGCGAACAGGATGTAGAAAGAAAGGCCCAGAAGCTGAGGGACTGGAGGGGTGGCCAGTGAAGTGGGAAATGGGAGTGGAGCACGCTGCGCGCGGGAGCTGTGCTTTGGCTTCTGTGCAGGGCTGCCCTGAATGCAGACAGCCTGTGAGAAGTAGTGAAAGGCTCCCTGCTGGGCAGGAAGAGCCTTGGCCAGGCTGCAGGGCTTGCGCTGGGACAAGACAGAACCCGCTCAACCCCACAGCCCTGGCTGCCTGCCCTGGGAGGCTCTGGAGCAGTGGGACTCACAGCTGAGTTTGTGTCTTGTGCTGTCACTACAGGATTTCAGGATTGGTTCAGTATAGAAGGGCAGGCGAGGAGAAAAGGGCTGGGGTGGGCATTGGAGTCAGGGTACCCAGTATGGGAGACGTTCAGCTCTGAAGGTACGGATGTGAGTGGGAAGAGGAGCAGGGGGGGTCACAGGCTCGGGCGTGACCTGAGACAGCCTGGGCAGGGGCTGCGATGGACCCAGGGGTGACCAGAGTGGCAGGCGAGGAAGCGAGCCGTCCTCGGTCCTGCTCCTGACTCTTCCCTCACTCACCCCCAGAGCTGGGGGACCTTCCTCTTGTCCGCCTGGACTTCTCCTGTAACCGTGTCTCCCGCATCCCGGTCTCCTTCTGCCGTCTCAGGCACCTGCAGGTCATTCTGCTGGATAGCAACCCCCTGCAAAGCCCACCAGCCCAGGTGAGCTGTGGCCCGGGTGGGCCCTGGGACAGGAGCTGAGGGTGGGAGGATCCCTCTTGGCAGCCCTGCAGGCTCAGGGGAGCCACCCTTCTTCCTTCACTCCCCACCTGTGCTTCCTCATTTAGATCTGCTTGAAGGGCAAACTTCACATCTTTAAGTACCTCTCAACAGAGGCCGGGCGGCGTGTGGCTGCCCTGGGGGACTTGGCCCCTTCCCGTCCCCCGAGTTTCAGTCCCTGGTAAGTCCTTGGTGGAAGGAAGGGAGCCCTTGGATACTTCCTGCCCCTTCCCGGCACCAGGGACCCACTGGTTTCCAGGGGAGGCTGAGGGGTTGCTTGCTGCCCCCCACGGGCTGACCACATCTCCTTGGCTGGCCCCAGCCCTGCGGAAGATTTGTTTCCGGGACGCCGGTACGATGGTGGGCTGGACTCAGGCTTCCACAGTGTCGACAGTGGCAGCAAGAGGTGGTCTGGAAATGAGGTAAGGGTCCCTTTTCCAAGGAGATTGGGGGTATCAGTCCTGGGGACAAACACCTCCGAGTGAGAGGTGGCTGGAGTAGGACTGGCTCGGCTGCTGACCCCCATCGCAGTCCCTGAGAGATAGCACCCGATAGGCCCCGAGCCCCTGTGGGCCCCGGCACTGCAGAGAGGCCATCTCCCAGCTCTTCTCTTTGTCTTGTACAGTCGACAGATGAATTTTCGGAGCTGTCTTTCCGGATCTCAGAACTGGCGCGGGAGCCTCGGGGGCCCAGAGAACGCAGGGAGGATGGTTCTGGTGAGGAGTTGGGGCAGGGGTGGGGGCGGGGCGGTATGAGGCCCCAAGGCCTCCGTCTGCTTGCTGACGAGCCCTGGCCCCTGCAGCCGATGCAGACCCTGAGCAGATGGACTTCATTGACAGCCATGTCCCTGGGGAGGACGAAGAGCGAGGCTCTGCTGAGGTGAGGGGCCACCCCTGGCCTCTGCCAGGAGAAGCGTAGTGGGGGGAGGGACACGCCGCTGGCTTGGGGGCCGGGCCTTTCTTCAGCCTCTTCACTGTTCTCTCTTCAGGAGCAGCGGCCGCCTGAATTCAGCCCTGTGGCAGGGGACGGGGAGAGGGTGCCCAGCAGCAGGTACCCCGAGCCCCTCCCGCCGCAGCCCCCAGTGCCCTCTCCGTCCCCGGCCCCGTCTACCTCTCTGATCCCCTCTGCCCCCGCAGGCGAGAGGAGCCGGCCGGAGAGGAGCGGCGGCGCCCAGACACCTTGCAGCTGTGGCAGGAGCGGGAGCGGAGGCAGCAGCAGCAGCAGCAGGGCGGGCTGTGGGGGGCCCCCCGGAAGGACAGGTGTGGGCCGCTGCTGGGATGGGCGGCTCTGCCCGGGTCGGGGCTCCGCCCGCAGAACTGACCACACCTCTCCTGCCCCTTCCAGTTTCCTGAAGCCAGGGACCAGGGCTGCCGGCGGAGCTGCTGTTGCCTCGTCCACGCAGGCCACCTTCAAGTAGGTCTCCTCCCCGCGTCCTGTCCCCACACACGCTTCCCCTGACGAGTCCCTGAGTCCCTTGCTCTGTCTTCCTCAGTGGCCCACCCAAGTCCAATGCCACACAACTGGGAGCTTCAGGGGGGCAGGGAGCCCCTGCCCCTGCCCCTACCTCCCAGGAGCCCCTCCCTGCAGCTGGACCAGGTAGGACACAGATTTGGGGAGGAGGGGGGAGGGCTGGGACCTGGTAGCTTGAGGGAAGAGTGGGATGCTGAGGGGACACCTCTCTCACCTGCCCCTGTTCCTGGCTCCCAGTGACAGCACCTGCTCCCCGGCCACTCGGCTCCATTCAGAGACCAAACAGCTTTCTTTTCCGTTCCTCCTCCCAGAGTGGCTCAGGTGGGTTCCCCATCCCTTTCCCGGCCCCCAGCGCTGCCCTGGCGCTGACCTGACACTGGCCAGTACTAACCCCGGGTCTGGCAGCTGTCTGACCTGTCGTCCTTTTGTGTTGGCAATCTCACAAGCAGAGATGCCAGAGGCGTGGGTGCCGTTCGCTGGAGGAGCGGTGGAGACAGCCACCACGTCCTCCTCTTCCTTTCAGGCCCCTCCTCACCGGACTCTGTCTTGAGACCTCGGTCAGCCCCCCAGGTTCCAGATGAGAAGGAGCTCATGGGTCAGCTGCGCCAGGTGGGCAGAGGTGGGGCCGCGTGGGCAGGGCCTGGCTGTGGCGGGGGCTCCTCCAGCGTCCTTCTCTGGGACCCAGGCCTCCCTCGACACCCACTCTGCCCACCCTGCTATCTCTCCTGAGGGTGGAAAGGAACAGGGTCGAGTTCTTGCTGACCCTGACCGGCTCTTCCTTCTGGCTTCCAGGTCCTTGAGTCTCGGCTGCAGCGGCCCCTGCCTGAGGACCTGGCCGAGGCTCTGGGCAGCGGGGTCATCCTCTGCCAGCTGGCCAACCAGCTGCGGCCCCGCTCTGTGCCCTTCATCCACGTGCCCTCGCCTGCTGTGGTCAGTGGGGGCCTGCGGGCGGAAATGGGGGCTGGGGCGGGAGCTCCTGCGGCTGCTCCCTGATCTTTGCTTTTCTCGCCCACCCCCAGCCAAAACTCAGTGCCCTCAAGTCTCGGAAGAATGTGGAGAGCTTCTTAGAAGCCTGTCGGAAAATGGGGGTGCCTGAGGTAGGGGGGCCGTTGAAGGGTGGCGGTGCCCTGGGCTGCATGCGGGTGGGCTTCTGTTCACAGGGGTGTCTGCTACAAAGGAAGCATGTCAGCACGCCCCTGCCCGCACGTCTGCATGTTGGCGCGGCTCTGCCTGGCACGTGAGGGTGGGGGCGGGAAGGACTGTCCGGCTCTGCTGCTGCTGACGGCCGTCCTTTGTCCTTGTCCACCTGCCCTGCCCTCCCTTCCCAGGCTGACCTGTGCTCGCCCTCGGATCTCCTCCAGGGCACCGCCCAGGGGCTGCGGACCACACTGGAGGCCGTGAAGCGGTTGGGGGGCAAGGCCCCGCCACCCCTCTGGCCCCCCTCTGGTCTGGGCGGCTTCGTCTTCTTCTACATGGCCCTCATGCTGCTGCTCTATGTCGTCTACACTCGGTTCCTGGGCTCCTAGGACCGGAAGTCACCCCTCCCCGTGCCCGCCCTCTTTCTATTTATGAGACTCCTGCTCCTCCTGGCTCCCCACCAGCGGTGCCTTCAGCCCCTACCAAAGACACTAGTGTACCCCTTCACAAACACTGACCTCAGAGGCCCCACTCTGGTACCCCCAGACCCTGGGCCCCCCGCCTCTGGCCCCACTCCTGTAGCCCCCCTCACCCTCAGAGCTGATGGTGCCTTCGTGCCCTCTCCTGCGGCTGCCTCTGGTCCTCCCCCGGGGTGGGGGGCAGGAGCTTGGATCTTTTCCTCGTCTTGCACCCTCCCTTCCTCCCCCCACTGGCTGCTATGGGGGCTAAATTATCTCTATTTTGTAGAGAGAGCTCTATATTTGTAGGGGATGAGGGGGCCCCGCGGGTCCCTGTCTCTTTGTATAAACTGTACAGACCGTGGCTGCCTCTGTGTGTGTGTGTATGTGTGTGTGTGCACGCGTGCAAGTGCGCCCCCGCGCTCCATGTGCCAGCCTGCGGGCCCCAGCATTTCCCTCTGGAAATGACAGCCGCTCCTGCCCCTGAGCCTTGTCGTCTGTGTCGCCCCCTTTCTGTTACCCACTGGCGGCTTCCTCGTGTCCTGTTTGTCCCCGTGTGGTGGGCGCACGCGTCGCCCCGGAACTTTGGCCTCCTATCTGCACCTTGCCTGGCAGGAGAGCTGTGGAGGGGGTGATGAGGGGGAACTTAATCTGGGCCCCTCCCCCCCAGGAGTCCCTGTGCCAGCCCCACCACATCCTGGAAGAGGAGGGGGCCCCGGGAAGGGGCCTCCCCCACATCGCTGCTGTCGTCCACGCACTGCTGGAAAGGTCTTAGGGGTGGAGGTAGGGGCGCGGGGCCAGAGCCAATGGAGACCCTCAGAACACAGAAGATGCATCCGGGCTCTGCTCCCTTACGAGGACTTGGTGAGGGCGGCCTGGGCACATGTGGGCCCGCGGGGCTGAACGCCTGCAGGTGCCGCGAAGGTCTGGGTGGAAGACCGGGCGATGGATACTGTGTCGAGCGCAATAAAAAGAAAACGGAAGCCCTCTAGGCTGGCCTCAGGTGTGAGCGTGTCTACGCAGCCGCAGCCGCGCGTCCCAAGGAGGGGCGGCACCTGCTCCGGCTCGCGGCGGCCGCGCGGGGCGGGGCGGGGCGCGCAGACCCCCGTCGCCAGGGGGCGCCCGCGGGAGGCCGGCGGAAGCGCGCGCCACGTGGCGGGGAGACGCCCAGGGCGGCGGCGTGGCGGCGAGGCCTCGGGGCTCCCTGAGGGCAGGGCCGGGCCGCCGAGGGAGGCTGGGCGCGGGCACGGCTGTGCCGCCCTGCGCTCCTCACACGCGGCATGTTGCCGTGGACGTCGCACCCGTGGGGCGCGAGCGAGGAGACATCATCGTCGGAGGAGCCAGGCCCCTCAGGGGGCAGTGACCAGAGCGAGGCCTGGAGTTCCGGAGAGGAGGCCCCGGGGGAGCTAGGAACACCCCCGCAGGACAGGTGAGGCTGGGCCGGAGCCACGGGCGGACGTCCCCTCCGTAGGCGCGTGGAAGCGCTGTCCGTGAAGTTGAGAAAACCCCCGGGGACCATTCCCCCGGGGCCACCGGCCGCTGGGGCCAAGGGAGAGTTTTGGCGGCCTGGAGCATCTCCGTCCCTGCCCGCAGCCTGCAGTCCCAGGCCTTCAGTCCTTCCTGGATCCGGACGGAGCAACTGGTGCCCCGGCCAGGCCCGGCTCTCGAGCAGACCCCAGGAGCCCCAGGTAGGCAGCAGGCGGGCAGCCTCTACCTAGCCCAAGGCGCTCTCGTGCCTCTGGGCCCACGTTAATCCCTTCAAGTGTCCCCCCCACCCCCCAGTTTCCCACCAGATGACCTGGGACGTGGCCCCCTCAAGGATGAGCCTGCTAGCACCCTGGGACCCCAACTACCAGGCCCCAGCAGGACCTCGGCTGCTGTGGGTGAGTGGGGGGCCTGGTGACTCCCGTGCAGGGGTGTCTTGGGCCGCGGCTGAGGCCCCATTTATTTCTCCTGCCCCCTTTGCAGGGGGCCGGCGGCGGGTCAGGCACCTTCTCAGACCGGACCTTGTATCATCCGTCCTTGTGTCCGCTGTACGAGGCCAGCTCCAGCAGGCGGCTCAGGCCCCCGGTCCCTGGCCTAGGGCATTGGAGTGGCGAGCAGGTGCCCGGGGGCGCAGGTATTTCCCGCGTGCCCCTCGGGCTCTTGGGGGATGCTGCACGTCCCTGCCCCCTCCCCGGAGCCGGGCTGCCCTAGTGGTTTCTTCGTGCAGGGTTCCCAGCGATGTGCAGGGAAGATGTCTTTCTCTCAGACCCTCTGCTGCCCCCGGGGCGACGGGTTCCCCTGTACCTGTCTGAGGCCACCCAGCAGGTGAGCACCTTCCCCTCTGGCCTCCTCCCAGCCGCCTTGTAGGGCCTGGGGGAAACACTCACCCTCTTCTCTCCTCAGGTCATGAGCTCCCAGAGGCTGCTGCTCCCGCCCCCTATCATGTCCTCCTGGGTCCTCCCCACCCAGTCCCAGGGCCGCTCCACCACCTGGCTCAGTGGCCCAGAGCTGATAGCCCTCACTGGGCTGCTGCAGATGAGCCAGGAGGGGGCCAGACCCAGCTCCTCGCAGGCTCCCCTTCTTCCTGTGGGCCCCCCGAACCCTGCCGCTCACCACGCAGGCCCCTGTGGTAGCCAGGGCTGTTCTCAGTGCACAGACCCATCTCATTCACAGCCCCCAGGCCCCCATTTTCCATAGCCCCTCTGGGGGCACAGCCAGCCCCCCACTCCCCCACACAGGTTCTGTTGACAATAAAAGTGTCGGCTTGCAAAATAGGCTTCCTGTGCTTTCTGGCCCCCTCTACTACATCGCTGGCTGCTTTCCCTTCAAACTCTTGTCGCCCCCCGCCCCCCAACACAGGGTGCCGGAATCCACAAGCCGTCTCTAGGCTGAGCAAGCAGGGTGCTTTTAATGAGTGGGCAGGTGGGTGGGTGGTCCCCAGTACAGGCTGGCGAGGGGAACCATTGTGTGAGGCCACGGCCTGCACTAGGACAGTAAGGGGACACCCCACTTTTGGGGGTGCACTAGTGTGAGACCCCTGGGTGTTCCCGTCATTGTGGTGCTGGGGCCCCTGGGCGTAGGCAGGGGCGGGGGGGGGGTTGGCTCATAGGAAAGGCTGCAGGTGTTGGGGGTGGGCAGGCAGGTCCCTAGGGGAGGCGCCGTCCATAGGTGAGGTCCCCAGTGATTCTGGGCAGACTGCGCAAAAACAGGGTCACAGCTCCAGCTGAGAAAGCCAAGTTTGCAGCTGGGGCAGTGGTATTAGGGTTCTAGAATGTTCTCCTTCAAAAGACTCCAACTTCTTAGGGGACCTCCTCCTGAGGATTTCTTAGGCGCCACGGCTGGAAGGAGCAGCAGCCCAGGGCAGAGGCAGTGGTGTGGGGGAGGGTCTGGAGGCAGAGCAGGAGGTCTTTAGCAACTTTGTTCTTTTTTCCCGTGCCCCGCCCCCCACCCGCCGGCGAGACTGGGCAGGGCTGGTGCCAATGTCTCCTCACCGCGGCCTCCTGAAGATTCTAGAATTCTATGCACGCATAGCTGTGGGGGCCGGCCCCCGGGGCGCCCCCTCGCGCTGCTAGGGGCGGCACCAGGTCCAGGTCGACATAGTTGAGGCAGGCGTCGCGGGGCTCCGGCCTGGCACTAGCCACTCGGGCATCACCAGAGGCTGAATACCGCGCGCACGCGGACTGCCCGGGCGGCTCTGAGGGCGGCAGCGAGCACGGCTGAGGCCCTGCGGGGCCCCTGCTCCCCCCTATGCCTTGATGAGCAGCTGGGAGCCTGGATCCGGGCTTCCCAGCTCCGGACTTGCGGGAATGGGGCAGGGCGCCAGAAGGAACGGACTCTGGAGGAAAGCGGTTCATGGGCACGTATTCGGGGCCTCCCTGGTCCTGGAGCGGCTGGCCGGTAGCATCGCTGTTGGTGGCCTGTTGGAGGCCTGGGGGCGCCATCACCACGTAGCTGCCGGCCTCGCCGCCCGCCATGGGCTCGTAGTCCCTCCCTGCCCGCATGCTTATGTAATCCCTGCCCGGATCTAAGCCCTTGGGGTAGGAGGCCGCCGTCCCTGGCCTCGCCAGGGTCTTGAGAGTTGTCTGCTCCACTCTCTCTTCCAGGCACTCTCGATGGCCCAGGCCACTTGACTGGGCAGGGGAGCCCGGGGTCTCGAAGGGACGGGAGATAGGGGGTCTGGAAGCGCTCGTCGGGGAATCTCTGGGCAGTGGCTCAGCCCTGCCCCCTGCAGCACTGCCCCCGAGTCGCTTCATGGCGGCCAGGACCGTCTCGTGAATGCTTTGGGCCACCACGGCGTCGGGCGCCTGCAGCCAGAGCTCCCCAGGACCCGTGGGCGCGGAGCGGCCGAGTTCCAGGAAGAAGAAAGAATCAGCGTGGCCGCAGCGGCGCACGCTGAGCAGGGACAGGCGCAGGGCGGGCGGCGGTGAGGCCCGGGGGTCCCGGGAGCCTCTCTCCCGAGGCTTCCGCAGCAGGCTCAGGGCCCCCGAACCCAGGCACAGGCGGTAGCGTCCGCTGCCCAGGCCTCGTGTCCGCCCCAGCCCTTTGGGTCGCAGCGTCACGGGCCAGACGTCCTGAAACGGAGCGAGGAACCAGGTCTCGGGGTCCTCGTGGGAGCTGGGACCTGGAGAGACAACCGGCTGGGTCACCAGGGGGTTACGGGGCCAGAAGTGGAAGTCACTGCGCCCCGAGCAAACTCTTTAAAGTTTGAACTTTCGATGACCTGGGGGAGGGGCAGGACAGGGTAAACCCAATACTGGAGCCTTGGAACCCCCGCACCACCACCACCACCACCACCACCACCGCCGCCGCCGCCGCCTCGCAGCCCCGGGGTGCGGGCCTCACCGGCGCCGGCGCGCACCTCGAGCAGGGCGCTGTACCACGCCTGCTGCTCAGCCTCGCTGGCCGCCGCCACGCCCAGGCTGCTGTCGCGCGTGTAGAGCACGATCAAGTGGCGCTGGCGCGCATCCGCGCGCTTGCTGATGGTGCACGCTCCTGCCAGGCTCACGCTGCGCCGCGGGCGCGCGGGGCCCCCGAAGCCTGCGCGGAACTTCTCCTCGCTCTCGTAGCACTCGAGGCGCGCCGGGTCCGTGCGCAGCGCGAAGAAGCGGCGGCGCTGGGACTTCTGCTTCCGCAGGTAGCCGCAGAGCCGCACGTCGGCCGGGCAAGCCCAGGGCAGCGGCGGGCCAAGGGGCACGTCGACCGACTGGGGCTCCGGGGTGGCCGTGGGGCCGCCGCCGCCTCCGGGCGTCATCCCGGGCCAGAGGAGGGGCAGCGGCGACCCGTCTCAGTTCCCAGCGTTTCTCTCCGGCTCCCGACTCCAAGTGTGGGGCAAGGGGTCTGCGCACTGAGTGTGCCCGGGTGGCTGCCGGGCTTCCTGGGACACCCGGGTCTCCTAAGGCCTCCTTAGCTCCACCCGCCGCCGCCTCCCGTCCCACCCCTCCCTCGGCCGACCCCTCTCGCGGTCCCCACCCCCGCGGGGTTAACCCCCGCACGCACAGGCTCTGGGATTTGAATCGGGACGTGTAGGAGAGGCGTCCTCCGCCCAGGGACCGGATCCTTTGCAGGGCGGGGAGTGTGGGGGCGTCTCTACCAATCAGCTGACTGACTGTGGGGGCGGTGGACGGCCGCGGCGGGGCAGGCAGGGACAGCCCGTGGCGGTGCAGAAAGCAAGCGTGATTGGCATCGTGTCCTTCGCGATGGCAGTGGCTGGGGCCTCTGCTGTTAGAAGGCTCCAGCGGCGTCCCCGCCTCACAACCCCTTCTTTGTAGGCGGCCGTCTCTATGTACCTCTTCCCACCCAGGAATGGCTCTGTGCTCTTTATGCTCTGCGAGCCATGGCGACTGAGCTGGGCTAGGTCAATTTCTGAGCTGCAGGTCCAGTTCCTCCTTGGCTTTGCAGTGATAGGGGGCATCTTGGGATAAGTAAATTTGCCGGTTGAGCCCTGTTCACAGCCCAAATCTGCCGGAATCCCAGCCAGGTAGCCGGGAGAGCCTCTGGAGCAGGAGCCTGCCATCTCCCAGGGGTACCCCTTCAAGCCTCCCCAGTGCCCTCAGCCCCTCACCAGCCTGGCCTCAGAAATGCTACCTGGGAGGGCCAAAGACTGGTCACAGAAGCACCTCTCCCGGGCAGTCTCCCTTTCCCCCCTGTATGTTGAGTGGTTTGCCATGGGGTTGGGGATTGGACATTTTTGTGTGTCAGTTCTGATCCTAGGACCGCCCACTCTGTGGGGTGGGGATGGCCCTGGTCCTGGTGCACCCTGCCAGGCAAACATGCACTTGGCATCCAGTGGGGCTTTAGCAGGCCTGGTGAGTTCACTCCGGTGGCAAAGATTCCTGCAGCCTGCAGCTGAGGTGGGGGAGGGGAGGCCTACTGTGGCCCCTGGTGAAGATGGTGTTGGGAGATGACCCGCAGGCAGGGGGTAACAGTAGAAGCAAGGATACCTGACTCTCTTTCTCAGTGCAGGGTGTACCAGCCATTTTTTTTTTTTTTAAAGATTTATTTATTTGAAAGAGTTACAGGGAGGCAGAGCCAGAGAGAGGTCTTCCATCCACTGGTTCACTCCCCAAATGACCGCAACGGCTGGAGCCTAGCTGATCTGAAGCCAGGAGCCAGGAGCTTCTTCTGGGTCTCCCATGTGGGTGCAGGGACCCAAGGACTAGGGCCACCTTCCACTGCTTTCCCAGGCCATAGCAGAGAGCAGGATTGGAAGTGGATCAGCCGGGACACGAACCAGCACCCACATGGGATGCCGCCACTGCAGGCATAGCGCCGGACCCTCCCAGCCAGCTTTTCCCACTTCCCAGGGAAGGGCTGGTTGTGAGCTGGAATACAGGAGAAACCATTGTGTCATTGTGTGCGTGGAGCTTGGCTTCTCAAAAACACCTTTGTGGGGCCAGCACTGTGGCACAGCAGGTTAAAGCCCTGGCTTGAAGCGCTGGCATCCCATATGGGCACTGGTTCGAGACCCGGCTGCTCCACTTCCAATCCAGCTCTCTGCTACGGCCTGGGAAAGCAGAAGATGCCCCAAGTCCTTGGGCCCCTGCACCCATGTGGGAGACCTGGAAGCTCCTGGCTCCTGGCTTTGGATCGGCACAGCTCTGGCTGTTGAGGCCAATTGGGGAGTGAACCATCGGATGGGAGACCTCTCTCTCTCTCTGCCTCTCCTCTCTTTCTGTGTAACTCTTTCAAATAAATAAATCTTAAAAAAAAAAAAAAAAAAGTCCTGGCCTGCAATGCCAGCTTCCCATAGGGGCACCGGTTCAAGTCCTGGCTGCTCCACTTCCGATCCAGCTCCTTGCTAATGTGCCTGGAAAAGCAGTAGAGGATGGCCCAAGTCCTCGGGCCCCTGCACCCACGTGGGAGACCCGGTAGAAGCTCCTGGCACCCAGCTTCGGATTGGCTCAGCTCTGGCCGTTGCGGCCATTTGGGAAGTGAACCAGCTCTCTGTCTCTACCTCTCTCTGTAACTCTTTCAAATAAATAAATCTTTTTAAAAATCACAACAAAAACACACACCTTTGCAAAGGTTGTGTTGAGTGGGAGGCAGGGCATCCCAAGGGTGTGTGTGTGGCCACCAGACAGGCTCCAGGGGCATCCTGGTCAGCCCAAAGCCCCACCCAGGTGCAGGAGAGACACACACTGCTCAGGTGGGGCAGTGGGGACAGTGACAGCTACCCAGGGAGAGGTGGGAATGGGGTGGACCCCTAAACCACCACCAAAACATGACTGTGTTCAAGGCTATGGCCCCAGATGTAGCCAGGGGCTTTGAGATGCCTGCATGCTCCTCCCCTTCCCGGTCTTGCGACTGCCACAGGGCCCATGTCCCTGCTACGGCCCTGGCCTGACAGCCTTTCTCCCCCAGGCTTGAAGGGTCTCCATGCTTTCTCCCTCCTGCTCCTTGTCAGCCAGGTCTCCTTGCAAGCACCCAGCCCTCGTGAGATCACAGCTATTACAGAGACCAGCTCCAAACCCCCTGGTGTCAGAGAACCCCGGGTGCTGGCTAAAAGATACAGCCAGAGGCATCAGGGCTCAGAGTGCCTGGGATCTGGGCAAGAACAGTGGCAGGGAGGGGTGGTAGTCCATGCCAGGTGATTTGGCCTGCTGGGGACCAGGAAAAGCCTGCAGTCAAACAGCTGGCCTACATCAGTTGCCTTAGCAACTCCACGGTCCTGGCCCTACCCAGAGAAGTTATTTTAGGACAGGGAGCGGCAGAACCTTAGCTCTGCCCAAGTGCCTCTCCCAACTGGAGGGTCTGGCTCTGCATCTCTGCCAGGGGCTGGCAGGGCAGAGTAGTCTAAGTCCCTGTAGGAGATTCTTATTAGCAGGGAGAGGAATTCACAGAGAGAGGACAGGCTGTTCCCACTGTGTTCTGGGTCTTCCACCTTTAGTCCCTGCCTGCAGCCCCATAGCCCTGAGGTTTGACTTGGCAGGCTCCAGTGTGCACAGGGTCCTAGGAGCTCGCTCCTGCTTCCTCACACCTGCAGGTGACCCGCTGAGGGCTGAGGCTAAGCCAGAGGACCACTGTCAGCGGAGCATGGCGACAGTGTTGGCCAGGGCACCTGCTGGGGTGAGCTGGGTGAGTCACTCCAGCCTGCCAGTCAGGTCGGCAGGACCAGGCAGGGCCGTGCAGGAGCAAGACACAGCCTCGTCATCTGTAAAGCCAGGGGTTTTTCCACTCTTTCCCTCTCGTCTGGAGAGGAGGTTTGAGGTCCAAGGCACCAGGCTGCTCCGCGCCAGGCACAGCAGCTGCAGCCCATGCCCAGGGGACTCCTGATTTCTCGGCCCTGGTGTCTGATGCTGACCCGGTCTAACTCCTCTGCCCAGGGAGCTGGCTAGAATCCACATGGGACAGAGGGACTGGGCAGAGAAGCCATGGGAGACAGCACGGGTGTGCCTGAGACACACAAAAAGGCCCTTCAGCACCCATCCAGGCCTTTACATCTCAGTCCCACGGCCTGGAAAAGGGTGAGGGAGGCTGGGGAGATAAGAAGACTCCTCCTCCTCCAGCTGGACTCCAGCTTCCCTCCCCTTGCTGGCAGTGAGCAGAAAGGGGAAGCAGACTTGGGGAGAATGACTGTGAGAGAGGGAACAAAGGATGGGGGCCCACCCGGGAGGCCCCACCAGGAGGGTGAAGGCTGGGAAGGCAGGTGCACAGACCCAGGCCAGAGGGCGGCCGGTTCCTGGAAAAGGGGCAGGCCAAGCCTGGCTGGACAAGTGGCAGCAGCTAGAGGTGTTTCCAGAAAACTCTGCAAGTAAATAAACTTCTTGCAACGTCTCCTTGCTTTCTGTGGAAAACCCAGAGAAATGTCAGAGCCAAGAGCTCAAGGGCCCCGAGTTCTGGGGGCAGTGGCGGCAAGGGAGGCCTCTCCGGAGGCAGGGGACGTGTTTACCCCATGCAGCAGTCTTGTCACCACACAAATAGCCCAGACTTTACAGCTGTTGTCATAACATCCCAGCTCTACTGCCTTGACCACTTTGGCACCTGTGTCCTTTGCCCACCCCCCAGCCTGGTGGGACTCACCCCCATCACTGCATCCGGGGAACTCGCACGTCTGCAGGGGTAGCCCCGCCCAGCAGCTCCTTCCCACTGCTAACCCAGGACCGGTCGGGACAGGAACTGGCTCTGTCCTGTCCTTGGCCAACAGCCCAGGCAGTCCAGACCAGTGGAGCCAAGGCAAGGGTCAGTCGTGGTGACTGACCTGTGGCCCCTCCAGCTGGCCTAAAGCAAGACCATAAGAGCCATTTTTTTCTTTCAAACGCAGTTCTTTTCCAACATTGCCTGCCACGAGCTTTGGTGCCGAGAATCAGAGCAGCAGAGGCACATGGAAAAACGAAAAGCACAACCCCGGCCGACGGCACAGAGCCTCTCCCTGGAGAAGCCCAGGCTGGGGGGTGGCTGGGACACGCAGCTGCCTTCCCTCCCCCAACCTGAGCTCCAGCTTGCGTGGTGGAGGCAAGACCCCCCCCATGTAAAGAGCTGTCCGGGAGAGAACGCCTGGGGTCTGTGTGTATGTGGGTGTGTGCATGTAGATGAATGCGTATATATCTCTCTATATAATAGGCTATATTAGAAAATTCTCTCTATGTATAAATATAAAACACTGGTATCCAAACCTGACACCAGTGGCTAACTAAAGTGCTTGTCAGGAGCTGAGCTGTGTAAGTAGCAGGTGAAACCACTTATCCTGAGTGCCAGGATGGGGGTGCTGGGGAAGTAAAACAATGGAGGCAGGGCAAAGCAGGTGCTGGCTGAGCCAGGCACCAGGGGCGCTCAGCTGCCCGGGTCTTCCTGGCCCCCGGGGCTGCCTGGTCACCGTCCCATGTCAGCACCATGCCTCTTCCTTACCCTACTGCACAGTGCTGGAAAGGTGGGCATGGGGGAAGGCTGGTCAGGCTGTGCCCGTAACTTCTACCCACAGGCCACGCGGGAGAGAAAGGTTGTCGTCGTAATTAATCATGTGAAAAAAGGTATACCGCCGTCGCCCTTCCAGGCTGGCTCTGCCGCACTCTTCCTGGACCCCCTGCCTGGGGGAGGCTGTAAGTCCCAAGTGAAGCACTAGTACCTCCACCATCCCGAGACCCCTGCAAAACCAGGCCCCTGTTGGTCTCAGAGCCACAGATAGGCCCACAGGCAAGTGGCCGTGAGAGCTCTAGGGAGCAGGGGGGGCCTGGAAAGCGGGAAGAGGCCCCCGCCAAGGACACAGTGCTACAAGAATGGGTTGGTGGTTGGAGGTTTGGTGGCAAATGGGCTTGGTGAGGATCCAGTCTGGAAAGAAACAACAACAAGTTATGAGATTGGGGAGAAGAGCAGGCAGCGCAGGAGAATGCAGTTTAGGCTCCCTTTCTCCCACCCGCTGGCTGGGCCAAGGGAAGTGGGGAAGTGGAGGTGCTGCGGCCAACGGAGTCCCAGTAGTGGATCCCTCATCCCTGTGGCCTGAGTTCCATCCCTTCTAGAAGTTTCTCCCCCCCTCCCCCCTGCAGCGAGTGATCATGGTGCTGGGACCCTGGGTACTCACCATGAAGGGATTGGTGGAGATCCCAGCTGGCTGGCTCAGGGGCCTCTGCCCCAGCTTGGCTGATCCCAAGTCCCCAAAGGAAGTGCCTAGGAGGCAAGAGCAAGACTGCAGCTGACATGAACTTGAACCTTGGCTGCTGCTGGCCAGGGCAGCCCAAGGTGGACAGCAAGGGGGCCCTTCCTGAGAGAGGACGGGGCAGTCAGGGTGGCACGCAGGCAGCCCTTGCTTCCCTAGATTCCCCTACCTCGGTTGAAAGGGAGCCGGGAAGGTCTGTGTGTGCGGGGACCCTTACCATTCTCCTGCTGGGCCAGCGAGCTCTGTGGGGGGAACAGCGGGGCTGGGAAGGGGCTGGCAAAGGTCCCTGCAGGTGGCACAGTCTGCGGGAAGCCAGGCCCCACACTGCTCATCCCAAAGCCGGGCCCTGTGGAATGAGACGTGAGGCTCAGGCAAACTTCTGGAAGATGGGGCTGGAGAATGTCCACTAAGTCCCCCCAACCATGGGAAGATAGGATGTAGTTATCCTTAATGAGAGGTAGCCGGGGCTGGGGGACAGAGTGAGCCCTGGAGCTTCTGCCCCTCCTGCTGCCACCTAACCTGTCCACTCCCTATCCACAGAGGGCATAGCTCTTATACCAAGGGGACCCACAGATCGAGGGCCAGCCCTGTGCCCTATTAAGCTGTGTAACTAGAGCAAGTGTTTAACCTCTGTGCTTCAGTTCTCTCTACAATGGGGACAGTCCTTATCTCACGGGGTTGCTGTGAAAGCCAAACCTGACGTGCACAGCATGGAGCCTGCCTGCCACAGGGGTCAGCTTGGGTTGCTGGTCACTGTCTCTCTTCCTGGCCCAAGGTTTCAGGGAGCTGGGGGTGGGGGATTGGCGTGGGTCTAAGGAGAGAGAAGCAGAGACCAGGGTATGCTGGGATGTGGGGAGAGCACAGGGCCTACAGGGGCTCAGTTTCCCTAGGGCTCAGCCTTGGGGCACAGAAGGGAGAGGCTGGACGCTCAGAGGGGTGTGAGGAGGGTTGGAGAGGAGTCAGTTTTTTCTAAAATGCTTGATTCTGCGGCTCAGCTGCTGCTCCTTTTAGCCTCCAAGCTGGCCTGAAACTGAAAAGCGGCCTGGCCTGGACTGTGAACGCTGCTCCTTCCCACAGTGAGCTGAGGGGTGAGGGAGGGAGACGCAGGGGTGTGTGTACCCCAGAATCAGGCCAGGGACAGCGCTGGAGGCTTACCTGGGGCCAGGCCATTGGACTGGAACGGGTTGGTGGAAGGCAGCCGGGGCTGGGCGGCAGGGGCGGCGAATGGGTTGGTGAGGCCTGCCCAGGTTGGGAAGTGGGAGAGAGTGAGTTATTTTCTTGTTTGCTCGGTCCTGGGTTGACTGAGCATTCCTCTAAGAGTTGGTTTGTTCTCTCCCCTCCCATCCTCCAGCAGTTCCAATCTGCCCCTGGCCTTTGGTCCCCTGTCTAGGTCTCCACAGACAGGACTCACCTCCAAAGGCCAGCCCTGGGCTGCTGCCACCACTGGCCGTGGGGACCTGGCCAGTCATCCCGAAGATGCTGCAATAGGGAGGGAAGTTGGCACCACTTTCTCCAGGATCAGGGGCTGCACACCTGCCCTCCCCTCAAAGACGAGGAAGGAGAGCAGGACAGGAAGGGAGGGCAGTGCTGAGGCAGCTCCCCCATGGGGCACCTACCTGCCAGGGACACCTCCGGCTGATGCACCAGGGCCCAGGAGGCTGCCCACCTCGGCGAGGCTATTTGGCTGACTGGCAGGTGCAAGAGGAGTGGTCCCAAATGGAGTCACCTGGCTGCTCCCTGGGCAATTATAGGGGACAAAACGGAGTGCTAGGGTGAGACGGGATGGCAGGAGCAGGAGGTGGTGGAGCAGCAGAGCGACAGCACCTGAGGCAGCCCCTGGCTTCTCCGAGCAGCCTGTTTCTCCGTGGCCGCCCCACGCTGGAGGGCCCGTCTCCTGCTGTGAGTCCTGGGCAAGGTGACAGCTGAGCCCTTCTCAGGCTCTGAGGTGCTCAAAGCCACTGCGAGGAAAAAGCAACTCTCCCTGTGTCCGGCTGCCCTCCTGGGCGCACGAGCCTGTGCTCCCCTGCAAGGCAGCATCTCCATTTAGCAACATGTCACACGGGAGGACACAAGTCCCGAGCATACTCCGGAGACTCGGGGACAGCGGAGGTGCCAGTGGGGCTGAGGGGCCGGGGTTGCCCACCCTTAGCACCGCTCCCTGTGCCAGCCCTGAGTTTGGCACACTGCAAGATTCTGCCTGTCCTCGTCTTCACGTCCAAAAAGAAAAAGCGCAGAGGGCCAGTGCCGTGAGGGCCGCCTTACAAAACGGCAGTTCCGAGCAGTCGGTCTCCGGGGAGAGGCCCGAGTCCCTGCCACCTTAAGAAAGCCTCTCTATCCAGGCACTGAGACACGCCTGTGCTGCAGGTCCCTGCCGACCACTCTGGGCTGTTAGGGAGGTGAAATGAGCCCACAAACGGAAACGATTGCGTTGTTCTGAACGCTGGAAGACCCATTATTACTGAAGTGAAACGAACTCTGCCTAGTGCCTGCTGCATGTCGTGCTCAATAATCGCTTGCTGAATGGAAACTCGAGTCGGTGGAGTAAGCACTGAAGTCTAGTTGTGGCTCTCCACTTGCTACCACCGCCGGCTCTGCCCGGCAAACCAGCTCTCTCTGAGCCCACCTGTTTCCTTGCCTTCCTGCAGAGCAGCTGTGAAGGACCCTCTGAGCTAAGTGAACCTGTAAAGAAAGCATCATGCAAATCACACCCATGGAAGAAAACACTTCCAGGGCCAGAGAGGCGAGGCAAGGTCTCGGGAAACGTGGAGGGCTGTCTCAGGACAAGACGCAAGGGAACAAGGGCCTCCCCTGGACTCCCAGCTGCTGGTCTTTGGCTTCAACAAGAGGCGTGGGCCCACCTCCTGCTCAGCCTCTGGTTCAGCAGCAGCCTGTCCTGGGTCAGCCTTCCCTGACCCAGTGGTGTGATTTTGACTGCGGTTGTCTTCTCTTTGCACCGCCCTCCTCCTTCATGGCCTGGCCACGTTTGCATCCTGTGTTTCTGTATCAACTCTCTTGGGACTTTCTGTGCAAACGTGCACAAACATGGCAGGTACAGGGTGAGGGGCTGCAGCACTGTTTCTGAGAAAACGCTGGCAACAGCCTGAATATCCATTAGTAGGGGACTGATGAGCTACATATGGTCCATGCCGTTATATGCAGGAGGCTGGTGTTATGGTGCAGCGGGTTGAACTGCTGCTTTAGGCACTGGCATTCCATAGGAGAGCACTGGTTCAAGCCCTGGCTGCTCCACTTCTGATCCAGCTTCCTGCTGATGTGCCTGGAAAAGCAATGGAGGACGGCCCAAGTACTTGGGCTCCTGCCACTCAAGCAGCAGACCCCAATGGAGTTCTGGGCTCCTGGCTTTAGCCTGGACCAGCCCCTGGCTGTTGCAGCCATTTGGAGAATGAACCAGCAGATGGAAAATCTCTCTCTATTGCTTTCTGTCACTGTGCCTATGAAATAAATTAATAAAAAAAGAATTAAGTAGCTCTTTATATATTGGTTTTTGAAAATGATCTAATAGATTAAAAAAAAAAACCCTGTTAAGTGGGGGAAAAAAGGTACAGAACAGCATGTATATTATGCTGTAAAATGAGTTTTAAAAAATAAGAAAACATAAAATGAGTAAGTAAAGGCCACAGGCTCCTCTTTCGAGGCCTGGCTGTGGAGAGAAAGTGAGACAGATGGCATGGGCAAGCCTGCAGAAGCATCTTGTAGGATGGAAAACTTTAAGTGCATTTGTAGGCAGAAGGGAGGATGCCAGAGAGAGTGGAGGTATAATTCCGATGAGAGAGTTTGGGAAGGATCTGGGGCTGGAGGGAGGGTCTGCAAGCAAAGGTGCCTTTATAAGAGACAAGAGGAAGAACGAGGGGTGGGGGATGATAGACACAAGACAAGGAAAACTAACACTGGGCTGGGTCCCAAGTCTTCGTTGCTTCCTGGCCCTACAACCACATCCTGGTTTCATGTCAGTGAAGTCTGGGGTTTTTCTGAGTGCCCCAGAACTGCAGTTTGAATTGCAAGCTCTTCCTGTCCCCAAAGCTGCATGTGGTTTTCCTTTCTGAGGGGATCTTCCAAGGGCAAGACACTCAGCATGATGACAGGACCTGGGTTCTCGCATGAGCAGCTCAGGGCCCAGCAGGGAAGTCGAGGTGCCCAGCGCCTACTAGCTGCCACCAGCTCTGAGTATCAGCGCCTGCTGTTGCCACCTCCCGCCCAAACGCCTGGGTTTCTAGATCAACAAGCTGGCTTGCTGAGTGTCCTTCCTCTGTGCAAGGCTCCAGCTGTGCATAGTCAGTTGTTAATCATTTCCAGCCACAGGACACCAGGCAGGCTGGAAAGCCAGCAGGGTGGTGTTGGGTCTTCAGCCGATTCTCTAGGACCCAGGCCTTTCCCAGGCCTTCCCAACTGGCTCAAAACATGTGGAACGTGCACACAGCCCGCTCTCCTCAGATCAGACTCTTCAGTTTTGCTCTGGGTCTTTGTGTTTCAGAAGCTTTCTCCAGCAAGGATCAAGCCTTCTACTCTCCCTCCCAAGCAGGATGGAGCAGCTACAGGCCCTGGGCTGCAGGCCATGTTGTGCCTCCCTGTGGCCACTAGAGGGCAGAGCGCGCCCTAACCTAGGTGGGCCAGGCTGGTTCTCACAAAGGCTACGCACAGGAATGCCTGGGCTCTTGTTTGCTTTCCACGTGCTGCTGGATGTTATGCCTGACCTAGAGCAGTTGCAGAGGAAACTGGTTTTATAAACCTCCTTTCTCCATACTCCCTCACACAAATACAAAAATTAAACCAGGCTGGTCAAGAGTCGCGCGCCTCTTCAAGGCTCCTCACTTACCGCTTTCTTCCTTTCTTTTGGGACACGCTATGAGAAGGCTCCTGGCAACATGGGCCCTGGTAAGTTTGTTGAGGTGACTAGATCACCTGGACGAAGGGTTCCTGCCCGGGGCTGGCTGTGGGGCTAAAGCTCTCCTCCTCTCTACCTCTGCCCCGTCAACTCTTGTCTTTAGAGCCTCAGCTGGGCACCGAAGGCATTGCAGTAGGGACCAGTTTGCAGGCTCTTTCCTCTAGTGCTCCACTCTCAGAAGCGCATCTTTCTTGTTTAATTGGATATTCCTGCCTCAATTTACACTCCTGCCGACCGAGCACAAAAGGGGTCACAACACTGGCTGTTATCAGTCTTTAAAATGTTTGTCCACATAATGTATAAAATTATCGTACCTGAGTTTACATTTTAGGTGAGTTGAGGATATTTTCATATTTTTTGCTGGGGATTTCCTGCTTGTATCCTTGCCTGTTATTCTATTTTTTATTTAGAGGAATTAAAAAAATACTTAATGGATACTAACTTTGGTTCTGTTTCCCATGTTCTACCTTCTCTCTGTTTCCTGACTTAAGCTTTGCTTGGAATGTCTTATTTTTTAAAAGATTTCATTTACTAATTTGAGAGGTAGAGTTACAGGGAGAGGGAGAGACAGAGAGAGAGGTCTTCCATCTACTAGTTCATTCCCCAAGTGACCCCAATGGCTGGAGCTGGGCTTATCCGAAGCCAGGAGCTTCTTCTGGGTCTCCCACGTGGGTGCAGGGGCCCAAGCACCTGGGCCAACTTCCACTGCCTTCCCAGATCATTAGCAGAGAGCTGGATCGTAAGAGGAGCAGCCAGGACAGGAACCAGTGCCTATACAGGATGCTAGTGCTGCAGGCGGAAGCTTAGCCTGCTATGCCATAGTGCCGGCCCTAGAATATCTTTTATCGTATGGATTGTATGACCTGTGCAATTTCTACTGTGAGGATTTATAGAGATTTTGTTTACTAGAATACGGTCAAATTATAAAAGGGTTATATGTTTGAAAATGATGTATACTCTCACTGCTGGTTACATAGCGTTACTTCTATTAGACTTGTTAAGCAGTTCCTCAAGCCGTCTCCTTTTCTCCTTATTTTATCCATTCATCTTGTGAGAGTGTGGTACAGTCTCCTGTTCTGTTGGTTTACTGAATTCTCATTGTGTCTCAGTTTCCATTTGATGAATCTCGCGGTTATGCTGTCACTTTAAGTACATGATTGTCGAGAACTTTGCAAATGTTAACTTTTATCATTATAAAATGTCTCTTCTTCTCCCCACTAAAAACAAAAGCAGCCAATCAGTTCCAGTGGTGCAGTGGGATGGCTGTCAGTAGAAGGAGACTTGAGAAGTGCCACTCTGGGGGCCGCTTGCTTAACTGTCTTCCATGAATTGACTACATTTTAAGGGTTCCTTCCAGACCTCAAAGCAGTATGACCAGAGGGCCCTGAGTAGGCTGTGGCAGGGGAGGAATAACTTACCAAAGCTGAAACTTCCAGTTAGCATCCGACTGGCTGGCAGCGAGGGTAGAGAAGGGCAGGGGCAGGCAGAGGAAGGGAGAGAGAGAGGAAGAGAGTGTAAGTCCCAGGCTTTCCTCCAGGTGTCCAGTCTCTGCAGCTGCCCTCCCAGGAGCCCGGGGTGCTTAAAGGAAGAGGGGCAGCCCTGGCCTAGCAGGACTCAGGGTCTGGGCACTCAGGGCGGAGCCTAATGCCTTAAAAAGGCCTTCAGATTCTCTTGTAGCAGTCAGGAAACAACATAGCATGAGGCTGTAGGCCTTTGCTCTTAAAGGGATAGGTGAGGAGTTCCCGCAGACTACCCCGAACTTTGCCCCAGCCCCTTTGACCCTCTGGGCCAGTCTATCACACAGACAATGAGGGCACTTTAGAGACAAAGCCAGGTTCACTGTGGCTTTTCTAGGCCTCAGGTCTCCATGGTTCCAGCCAGAGCGGTCCCAGTGTGTACCCTGCGTGGCTCTTGCTGCAGGGTGTGGCACTTTCTGAGGGAACAAGCAGAACGCTGGGCCACTCTCCTTTCCGGGAGCCCTGTCCCCTCTGCACGGCTTTGTGGCTAGTGGGGATGTCAGTGAGGGCTGATGTCTGCACGTGGACGGCTGCATGTCTCTCGGAGACAGAGGAAAATGGGGACGCTGGGGACCGGGGGCAAAGTTTACCTGCCGGTGTGGGCTGGGCCGGGAATGGGGCCTGGCCAGCGGGAGGGACACTTCCAAACACAGCGGCACCGGGGCTACTGCCAAAGGCATCAAAGTTGGCAAAGCCCCCAGGAGAAGGCGTGTGGCCTGCAGGTGGAAGGGATGTGAAGGTTACACAGGAAGGCTTGTGCATGTCCATGGAGGGGACCCACCATGACATCTGCCTTCCCACAGGGTCTCTTCAGGCAGGGGTCTGGGCAGAGCCAGAGCCACACAGGGCAGAGGGGCACCCATTCACTCCCTGCACTTTTTTAGCCTTACTCCATGAGGCATCAGCATTTTTGCTGGGGTCTGGTTTGCAACAGAATCACACGGGAAAAACTTTTTTTTTTTCGGTGGGAGAAGGGACTTGCCTCTACTGACTACGGCTGGTCTCTAGGAGGAGGGCAGAGAAAGGAATACGTGATAATGCCACTCCTCCGATTTTCAGAGAGAGTGCACATAATAAAAAGGGCTCCTTCCAAAGTTCTAAAAGGGAGTGGGAGGAACCCCCCCCCCCGGGGTGGGGTCTCATAGTTAAACTCCTAAACGTCATCTGCGCGGTATTACTCAGCTCCCGTCCTCCCAGCCTTGCTCCACAATGGCCACCAGGGTGGTTCCCACAAAGAGATCTGGCCTTGGCTACCCAATGACGGACTGACTTCCTTGTGTCACAGGGAGGTTGGCATGGCCAGTCCCACTTACCTCCAAAGGCTGGGAATGGAGCAAAGGCTGGTGCAGCCTGGGGAGCAGCAAAGGGGTCTCCCCCGATGTCAGCCAGCAGGTCGGTAGTGGCTTTCTTCACAGCAGAGTGGGCCGGCAGCTGGGAGCTCCGGGCCTGAGCTGTGCGGGCCTGAGACTGGCTGACAGACTTGGAGAGAAGAAATTGCATAGAGCACTTAGAACTGCAGACATGACCTGGGCCGGGCAGAGCCAGCCCCACAAGTGAGAGAGAAGAGAGCGAGTAACTGCCCTTGACCGAGAGGCTTCCTGGGCTGAAGCGGCCCTGTCTTCTCAGGACTCCAGCTCCCACAGCTGTACATTTTGGAGCCCAGTTCATGGAAAAGGTACACTGTCTTTTAATTCCATTTCCACAGACTTTCTGAAGTGCCCTTGTATTAGTTGAGGTGACCCTGAGATGCAGTCATGTCACCCAACAGTGCTCTGGAGCCATGACCAGCTCCTCACTCCCAGGTAGTGGGAAGCAGCGTCTTGGCCCCTTCTATCTCCTTGGAGGAAATGGCCAGGTATGGAGCTGGTATTCTGACTTACCTAAACACCACTTCCTGCTGGCTATGTCTTCCAAAAGACACTAAGTACAAAGGTGGCAGATGCAAGAGTACTAACGATAGGAATGAGGACCAACTCACGGGTCCTGTACTGTTGTCCTGCTAGATCTGCTGGGTTTGATACAGGAAACAGACACACCTGTCTTTCAAACCCCAACATAAGCCCAGAGTGCAGAGCTGAAAGGTACCTGGCTCGAGGTGGAAGCAGCAGCTGAGAGAGATGGCACAGGATCACCCAGAAGTGACCGCGGGGGTTTCCCTTCTGGGCCGGAGCCCTGGACAGGGGTGGAGGCACTGCCTTTGGTATAAGTGGGCCCCTTGACTTGGTCTGGAGGGACGTACCTTTGAGAGAGAACAGTCAGGCCGTAAGGAGACGGGTAAAACCTTGGACCGTGCTCAGTTCAGGTGCCTGGCAAAGTGCAGGTGACAGGAGTGGAAGCCCTCCCTCATTTTCTACCATTTCCCTTCGGAGCACAGGGGCTGACAGCTCAGCAGAGCCGGTGTTTCTAGAGCATCCTCTGAGTATCGCAGTGCTTTGTCTTCTGCAGTTGGGTTTTCTCTGGTTCGTGCCCTTTTCCCCTTCTCCCTCCTGCCCACCTCGAACACTGCTGCTCAAGTTTTACCACACCCACACCCACACACACTAATGCTGGTGGACAGGCAATCCTGTCTTCCATCTTCCCACTCAAGGGCCCCCTTTTACTTCCTGGGTGTTTCGTCAGATTCCTCCCTCTCAGTCCCACAGAAACGGTGTCAGTGGCCTCACCCCCTAAGTGCTCACGAGCTGGCCGCCTCCTGCTACTTCTGATAAAATCCCTTCCACTACAGCACATGCAGTCCCCACTCTGGAAGCAACTTCTTAGGACCGAGGACACCCCCAGGAGGGACTCTGCACATCAGCCCCTGTACTCTTTGCGAGTTCTTCTCCACCTTAGGTTTACCTCCCCCACCTCCCCACCACATGCATGTTCTGCACGTTCCAGATACCAAACAGCAGCGTCTTCGCTCACCTGGGGAGTGGAAAGGCAAGGGAGAAGGGGAACACGGTTTTCTTTATCAGGAAGACAGGATGCACAGCAGTCATGAGTGAAATGCCAGGGTAAAGGCATAAAGCCATTGGATGTGTGCTTCCCGACGTCTCTACCCATTATGAGATCAGCTGAGCTATAGAAACTACCTCCTGGGGTAGTGCCTGCAGTACTGGCATCCCACATGGGCGCCGGTTCAAGTCCTGGCTGCTCCACTTCCGATCCAGCTCTCCTTGGGCCCCTGCACACATATGGGAAACCCAGTAGAAGCTCCTGATTCCTGGCTTCAGATCGGCCCAGCCCTGGCCATTGCAGCCATTTGGGGAGTGAACCAGCGGATGGAAGACCTCTCTCTCTCTGCCTCTGCCTCTCTGTAACTCTGCTTTTCAAATAAATAAATAAATATTTAAAAACAAAGAATTGCTTCCTGCTCCCACTTGGGGTACCTCCCAGCTCTAATCAGTCTCCTCAGAAGAGGGGAGGGACATCAAGTCGCCAGGGTTGTGTCCTTTCCCGTAGATCTATTACTCTGAAGTCAGAAGTTAGCCCTAATTCAGTCTGAGAAGAACAGACTCAACTCAGTTCTAGCCTTTGAGAGAAGCCCAAGTTCAACTCTAGAAACGGCTGTCGGAGGAAGGTCGTCCCCGACACAGGTCTCTGTGGCCTTGCTCTTACCATCTCTTCTTCTCATACTTTTCCTGGAGAAACTCCTTCACCTTCTGAGGGTCCCTGGAATCTGGTATTAAAGATGTCCGAGCATCAAAAAGGCCCAGCCAGATCTTCCTGCAAACCTGAGGGAGTGGAGTCAGGTGACAGGGGGTTGCAGCAGAAAGCATGGAATTCAGATCTCACTTCTGATTTCTTCACCAATAAATATTTACTGAGCACGGACACACTGTTAGGCAAACCGACAAGCCATGAACTATGCCTCTCCTCACAGTCTACAATATAACGGGGAAGTTATGCCTTTGATAAATAAATTTAAAATTATATTTTGTGACTCATATTGAAAAAGGAAAATAGAGAGCCATGAGAATTATGAAGAACTAAAATTGGACGGGCGTGGGGTCAGGAACAATTTTCAGAGTTCTGGCTTCCTGGACAACCTCTGGAGGCCCTGGCGGGCAACTCTACCCAAATCCTCACCCTAAGCCAGGGTACTGCTAACACTACGAAGGCAACTTCCAACTGGCAGATTTAGCTGGAGAAGGGGTTTAACTCCCTTTCAAGAAAATAATGTGGGCTGGTGCCGCAGCTCACTAGGCTAATCCTCCGCCTGCAGTGCCAGTACTCCAGGTTCTAGTCCCGGTTGCCCCTTTTCTAGTCCAGCTCTCTGCTGTGGCCTGGGAGGGCAATGGAGGATGGCCCAAGTCCTTGGGCCCTGTACCCGCATGGGAGACCAGAAGGAAGCACCTGGTTCCTGGCTTCAGATCAGCGCAGCACGCCGGCCATAGTGGCCATTTGGGAGGTGGACCAACGGAAGGAAGACCTTTTTCTCTGTCTCTCTCTCTCACTGTCTAACTCTGCCTGTCAAAAAAAAAAAAAAAAAAAAAAAAAAAGAATGTGGACTTAAACCAAGGGTGTCAAGGTCCACGTAAGCTGAGCTGGCTCCAGGCCTTACTCAGAGGGGCTGGCACAGTTAATTCTCAACAGGGGCGTTCACTATTTTCCCAGAGGGCCCAGGGACTATACCCAGTAGATACAACTTCTTCCCTTGATTTCCCCAAAGAGGGGCTGAGACAAACTATATTTGAGTACTAGAGGTTGTGATATTCCACACATACAGGAGGATACGACTTCTCATCACTACACAATATAGGAGACCTCACCTCCCAGAGAGAGTGAGGCTTTTTTTTTTTTTTTTTTTAAACCATCTTGAGGTAAGGCCAGCAGACAGGGAAACTGCAGCCCTCCGGCTGGTCCAGCTGTTCGGTGGGTGGCAGCTTACCTCGTTTCCACGAGATTGCAGGAATAGGACTTCAGGCTCAGTGAAAGTGGTCATGGAGATGGACTTGACACGATGAGGGGGGTTCAGGCCTCTCCTGGGGGAGAGAAATAGAAAGGAGAAGTATAGCTCGGTTGGCACTGCAGGTCTGGTTATGGGAGGCGAGGGGGGAGAATGACTAAAACGAGGGCACACAAACAGCTCAGACAGAGCCTCATCTGCAGCTACTTCCTGGTTCCAGGAAAGAAAGGAAACACGAATATCTTAGAGACTTCTAATGAGAGACAGGGAAGAGAGAGTCAGGAGCACACTGTGATCCCAGTCATTTTGGAGAGGGAAGGCAGTCTGTCCATCTAGAAGCTCCCTCTGGTCTGGCTCCAATCCCAACAGTTCCAATGTCCAGCCTGTAGAACCCGGTGGGGGTACTTCTGGGAACTCAGACATGTAACCAGTTCCCATTTCCTGTTCTGTCATTGTTTTAGACCTGCAGCACATCTCCATGGTCCCAGATAAATCTCACAGGCTTGAGGGAAGGCAAAACTAAAGCCCAGGACTATTCCTGGTAACACTAACAACGAGAATTTTGTGACAAAACCCAGATTTCCCAGGCCGGCTGCCCCTCCCCTTGTCTACAAAGAATGGGGGACTGGTGGAGGGGAGGAAGGGGGGTCCCTTTCTCTTTTAGGACGCCATCTCTGGGCAAAGAAATATTCCAGACCTTCTTATTTCTAGATCTTGCAATAAGGCAGGAGGAAGTCAAGTTTAACCACAAGATACGAGGCTGGCACTGCTAGAATACATACCCTGTAGCGATGCTTTTGTGCCTGCTCTGTGTGTTCTGTTAACTCCCTGGGAGTCCTGTTCTGCACACAGAAACCCTGTAGAGATTACAGCAGAAAAGCAGCCTTGCTTGCCCTCACTCAGCTGGTCTCTGGGGTGTTCAAACAGGAGAAACTTGGGACTAAGCCAGGCAGGGCTGCATGGGCTCCCCTTTCTTCACACCTGAAGTTTTTACTATGGTCTAGACATACTGCCCTCAGCAGAGTGAAACAAAACTGGCCAAACCAAACCAAAACACACCCTGGGACTGGAGTGAGAGGAAAGCCAGTCTCAGCTGAGGATGCCCTTCCAGACTTTTCTTCTCAGAGAAAAACTGGGCAAATCAAGATCTTAAAATAAAAGTACAGGGGCAGGTGTTGGGTTACCGCACCGGTTAAGCTGCCACTTGCAATGCAGGCTTCCCAGAGTGGAGTCATGGCTGCTCAGCTTCCAGTCCAGCTCCCTGCTAACACACCTGGGAAAGCAGTGGAAAATGGCCCCAGTGCTTGGGCCCCTGCCACCAACATGGGACACCAAGGAGTTCTGGTTTCCTGGCTTCAGAGTGGACTGGTCCTGGCCATTGAAGCCAATTGGAGAGTGAACTAGCAGAGAGAGCACCTCTTTCTCTCTCTGTTGCTTGGCTTTTCACATAAATAAATATTTTTTTAAAAAAGTATTGATGGCCCTCCACATCCGGGGGTTTTGTAACCCCAGATTTAACCAGCATGGATCAAAAATAGTTGAGAAAAAAACTGGGTTCATATTGAACATGTCTTGGCTTTTTTTCCCTCATCATTACCCTTTAAACGGTATTATATGTCAACTATTTATATAGCATTTACATCGCATTGTTACAAGTAATGCAGAGATGATTTAAAATATTTGGGAAGGAGGGCATTTGGCCTGGCAGTTAAGATGTTGCTCATCCCATCATAGAGTGCCTGCTTCCAGTCCTGGCTCTGCTCCCAATTTTAGCATCCCGCAAATGCACACCTGGGAGGTGGCAGGTGATGGCTGAAGTACTTGGGTCCCTGCAACCCATATGGGAGACCTGGACTGAGTTCCCAGCTCTTGGCTTTGGCCTTGTCCAGTCCCAGCTGTTGTGGGCATCTGAACCAGCTGATGAGTGATTTCTTTCTCTCTCATTCTGCTTCTCAAGTAAGTAAAATAAAACATTTTTGAAGTAGATAAAGTATATGGGTGGGTGCGTGTAGGTTCTGTGCAAACACCATGCCATTTTATATAAGGGACTTGAACCTCTAAGGGTTTTGGCGTCCACAGGGAATCCTGGAACCAGTCCCCTGTAGGTAGTGATAGGGTCCTGGTTGAGTCCTCAGGAAAATACTTTACCAAATTAACTTTTAAATTCATAGAGAAGGTGAGTGAAAGACACATTCATGCTCACAGGTACACCCACAGAATAACAGTGCTTCTGCAGAATCTGGGAGAACGGCAGTGTAGGTGTTGGTGTGAGTGATGGCAGTGAGGTGGGGAGCAGGGGGACTGATGACACAGTGCCGAGCAAACTTGAAGGGAGCCGCTCTTCTGGATGATAAATGACCCATTATGGATTCTACAAAGGACAGGACACTGGAAGCTAGAGTTAAGGTCATTTTCAGCAACTCTGCTTTTAAGTGAAGGGTCTCAAAATGCCCTTAAAAAAGACAAGCACTATCAAAGAGGACCGATGCCCCCAGGAAACACAAGAGCAAGAAAAAGGAGAGGGGGAAGGAGGAGGAGGCTTTGTTCCTCCATATCACACAATAGCTCTTACTCTTCTGATCACATTTCAGAAGCAGCCCAGTTTTTCCCCTTAAGCCTCTCTTGCTACTGGTTCCGTTTGGTTTGAATACTAGCCAGCCCTTTTTTTTTTTTTTTTTTTGACAGGCAGAGTGGACAGTGAGAGAGAGAGACAGAGAGAAAGGTCTTCCTTTGCCATTGGTTCACCCTCCAATGGCTGCCGTGGCCGGCGCACTGCGGCCGGCGCACCGTGCTGATCCGATGGCAGGAGCCAGGTGCTTCTCCTGGTCTCCCATGGGGTGCAGGGCCCAAGCACTTGGGTCATCCTCCACTGTACTCCCGGGCCACAGCAGAGAGCTGGCCTGGAAGAGGGGCAACCGGGACAGAATCCAGCGCTCCGACCGGGACTAGAACCCGGTGTGCCGGCGCCGCAAGGCGGAGGATTAGCCTAGTGAGCCGCGGCACCAGCCGCCAGCCCATTTTGATACTCTTTCCACAGGCCGTCCCCTTCAGAATGCCAGACCTTTCTGAAATCTGTCTGGGGTAGATGTCACTGCTTCTAGGACCTAGGTCTTCTCCTTTTCCTGTCACTAACAAATATTTTTTTTAAAGATTTATTTTTATTTATTTATTTGAAAGTTACACAGAGAGAGGAGAGGCAGAGAGAGAGAGAGAGAGAGGTCTTCCATCCAATGGTTCACTCCCCAAGGGGCCGCAACAGCCGGAGCTGTGCCAATAAGAAGCCAGGAGCCAGGAGCCTCCTCTGGGTCTCCCACAGGTACAGGGTCCCAAGCGCCTGGGCCATCCTCCACTGCTTTCCCAGGCCATAGCAGAGAGCTGGATCAGAAGAGGAGCAGCCGGGACTAGAACCGGTGCCCATATGGGATGCTGGCGCTTCAGGCCAGGGCGTTAACCCACTGCGCCACAGCGCCGGCCCCACTAACAAGTATTTTACTTTGATAAAATACACAGCACTCTAGTGGGCACTGTGGGGGATAGGAAAATCACAGGATCTAGTCTTTGCTCACCAAGTGCTTAGAGAAAAGACCCAGGAAGTCCGGGCAAAGCACTTCTTGAGGCAGCGGGGTGCCAGTCAGCCAGGCCCTGGCAGATCAGGGAGAGGTGACTCCAGGATGCAGCAGTGGGGAAGGAAGAGACACGGTCACGGGAAAGGTAAAATGCGCTATGTTTACACTAGAGAAACAGATTCGAAGCCTATCTCAGAAAGGTCACTGACATTTCCTGAAAGGACAACCAGGAACGGTTAGCAAAGTGTAAACAGGGAGGTGCACTTCCTTGTGGGGGTGGAGGGGGGATTCAGCTTTGGCACCAATCAAGAAGGGATGCTTACAACAACAGAACTTCTTATGGCTGAACTTGGAGGGGGTGGGGGCAGGCAGAGAAGCTGGGTGATAGGACCGAGGCAGGCAGAGAAAGTTAGAAGTGATTTACATGCTGTGGGCCAAATGAATCTGATAGAACAGGATGTTTCCATAGCACAGTACAAAAAGCACAGCTCTGACCTTGATGTCTGTAGGCTGGATTATGTATAACCAGAGCCACAGTTTGGGGGCAGGGAGAACGTTCTAAAGAGAAGCCTCGCTCTGCAGCCCAGAAGAGGGCCTACCTCCATGGCCTATGAGTCAGAAGACTTCTGAATCATAGAGGGACCACTGCTGGCTGAGAGAGGCACTGTGGAAACAAGAGCCCCTTTCCTGCTGGCAGCTGACATCGCAGTCTCCATGTGGTGCACCCCTCTGGGCACGCACCAGGGCCCTGCAATGGGCCCAAAGCGACTCACTGGCCTGGAATTCAGCAGCCCCAGTTCCCCAGAGTGTACCCAGTGTAACTCCCAGCTTCTCCCCCACAAGAAGAAGTAGGAGTTAGAAGGAGGCACTGCCCTTCAGTTATCATGCCAAATCCAGTCTGCTATTTCTGACCAGGAGGTGCTAGGGAAACAGAAAGATAAATGTATTTGCCCAGAACAGGGCATGGTTTTCTAGTTGAAGAGGAAGTATGTCGCTGGGACTCAGCCCTCCAGCCAGGCACACCATCTCTATCAACTCCAGTTTCTTTTCTCGCAGAGCACCTAAATGGTATTAGAAATACTTTCAGTTACTTGGCTGATAAAGCCCTTCTACGTGTACACGTTTGGCTGCTCAGTTCTCTCCTTCTCCGCTCTCCCCTTTGATTCTAGTAAGCACACAACGATTTCTACAAATACCACACTTTGTTTTCCTGTGACCATCACCTTCAAACTGGCCTACATTTTGCTGCTATCTTGCTTCATAAAAACATCAAACCTGCTCAGCTGCTTAGATAAGAAGGTTCTGCCAGGTCAACAATGGAAAAAACCAGTTCCACCCAGTACCCAGGTTCTTTTATTTGTGCCAAATTTGAACTTGGGAATTCCTTGCCTCTGAATATTTGTGTTCGAATTCATACACCCTGTATTGTGTTCCTTTGCTCCTGGGATTCCATTCCTCTGCTGAGCAGGGGATAGCTAAACTGGCTGTGCCTTTAGTTTAGGCTCAAACA